GTGGGAGTGGAGCAGAGTAAAAACCATGCAATCCTGTCTCTCCAACTCTTCTGAACCCATACCAGTATTGTGAGATAAGCTAAATTATTGGTAGTTGCTGCAAATAACAGCAGTTCTACTGAAGTGTAACTCACCAATCTTGTGAATGTATGTCCTTGAAGAACCTCAACCTTAACCCTACATCTAACAAATGAAGGGATCTAAAGACACATTGAAGTCAAGCAAGGGACAAGAAAGCCATTTCAGCATTCTGGAGACATTTAGAAACGTCTTGACATTCAGTTTTGTAGTTTATTATGTTTACAGATCCCTGTAATGGCATTATTTATCCCATAATAGCTTTATCTGTGAAGTGAGTTAAAAAGTGGAAGTAAAATATAAGCTCCAAGCACGAGTCATGGATAAATGGCCACAATGTTTAAAGAATCGATGTTAGGGTTCAAGGAACACCCCAAACATAGAGGTGTTTTGTGGAATTGCAGTGGTGCCCCAATCAAATGTTTTTTTTTCATAGAGAAGCATTGATTGAATGTTTGATGTCCTCTTGCAATGTGTGAGGATGTCTAATGTCATAAACAAAGTCTGACTTGGTTCTCACTGTGAAAGCACCATCTAGTGGCTGTCAGTGCAACAGCCACTAGAGGTGTGTCTATCCCACAATTTAAACATTGCCCTCCGAAATGGCAATGTTTTACACTGTGGGAACAAAAATACCAGGTGGTCTGAGTGTTTAGAGTGGTCTGTTAGAAACAAAAAACACCAGTATCTTCATGCCCTCTCCACCAACTGTAGAGATCCTGGGCTAAATAGTTTCACGGTGCTTGGAGTGTTCTGGTAAGAGTTCTTGGTCTAAAAAGTCTCAGTTTAACTCTGTGGTCTTGCGGTTATTTCTATACTCCACATTGATCTTTATTTTAGTGGCTCATTACCAACTTTGAATAACTGATCTGTGCTGTACCACCAACGATGTGGCGTTTCCTCTTATATACAGCTATAATGAAAATTATTCAACTCCCCTTGATAATCAGATTTATTGTAAAAATTTAGAGACTTTCAGCTGTTTGCAATGAACGAATCAAATAAAGCAATTGAAATAGCTCAACACAACAAATGTTTCCATTGGTTTCCCAAAATTCCCAAAATTGGTTTCCCTGTGTCTGTCTCCCTCCAAATCAACAGTGCTACCATCAGCTCCACCACGCAGGCTCGCTGCATAGGTGTTCTCTTTGACTCCAACCTCTCCTTCAAGCCCAATGTTCAATCTATCGCCAAATCATGTCATTTCCATCTCAAAAACATTGCGCGCATCTGCCCCTACTTAACGCCAGATGCGATTAAGGTGCTGGTCCATTCCACTGTCCTTTCTCGCCTTGACAACTGTAATCCGCTTCTCAGTGGTCTTACGTGCTCCCAACTTGCGCCGTTACAGCCCATAATGAATGCGGCAGCGAGGCTCATCTTCTTGTCCGCCCGCACCTCCCATGCCTCACCCTTCTGTCAGTCCCTACATTGGCTCCCTATAAAATATAGAGCTCAATTTAAAAATCTGGTTCTCACTTTCAAATCTCTACATAATGCTGCTCCCACCTATCTATCCACCCTTATACACAAGTATGTCCTGTCTAAGCCCTTACGATATGCTGAAGACTTACGTCTATCTTCTGTCCGTATTCCCACCTCTGATGCTTGCCTTCAAGATTTCTCGAGGGCCGCAACGTTCCTGTGGAACTCGCTTCCCTCCTCCGTTAGATGCTCACCCAGTCTCGACTCCTTCAAAAAATTGTTAAAAACCCACTTCTTCATAAAAGCATATCAATTAAACTGTTAATAGCTCCTGACTGATTCCTCTTCTGCAACTGCCACTAGTCTAATACTATCCTTACCTTTTTGTGTCATTTTACCCCACTCCCTCTAGCATGTAAGCTCATTGAGCAGGGCCCTCAACCCCTCTGTTCCTGTGTGTCCAACTTGTCTGGTTACAACTACATGTCTGTAAAGCGCTGCAGAATTTGATGGTGCTATATAAATAACATTATAATAATAATTCAAATGAAAATGCAACTTATAATGACTTCTCCAGTCTCACAATTATTCAATCCCCTGAAGAGTAAGAAAAACAATGATATATACATAAAGTATATAAAAAGCTCCAAAGTATACACACACAGGGGAAAAATAGAAAATGATAAATAAAGTACAAATGAAAACCTGGTGTTATAATCTAAATAGAAAAAAGCAAAAACTGCATTTGGTGTGATATAGTAAAATACTAAAAGAAAAAGAAGGAATTGATAGTGAGAGCTCTCAAAAGATGTAGGAATATGTACCCAAAGGGGTAACTCCAATGTAGATAAATCTTCAATCTGTCAGTATAGATGTCAAAAGAGAAAGCCAATAGCATAATATAGTTAAGATGAACAATCTTTAATGACTAAAATACACTTACAAGAAGACAGTGGATTCAGGCATATCTCCACCATAAGTGGACCATAGTTCCAATTGGGCAGAAGGTGGAAAAGGACACAAAAAACTAAATAGATAAAATCAAAGAAATTAATAAAAACAATAACAATAATAAATAAATCCCCAAATAAAGTTCATAAAATGTATTTCTTCCACAGAACGCACTTCTTCAGGGATCATCTTATAATTGGAGATTATAAATTGCATTTTCAGTTAGATTTGGAGAAACAAATTGAAGCATTCATTGTGTTGAGATATTTCAATTGGTTTTATTTCATTTGTTAATTGCAAACAGCTGAAAGTCTGTAGATTTTGAATTTTGAATAAACCTTATTTGCAGTGGGGGTTGAATAATTTTGATTACAACTGTACTATACAGTTGTGCTCAAAAGTTTCTATATCCTTGGACAATTGGTACTACATGTACCATTTTTTTATTTAAAATTCTTTATTTTTCATTCCACATATGAAAAATACATAGACATATATCATAACCATCATATGTGCTTGCACAGGGTCGCACTCGTCATCAACAAAGTATAAGCGCGTGGAACGTTTTTATGTATTTAAGTTGTAACGTAATGCAATGCATGTAAGAGACACTTTAGGGTTTCCCCCTAGGAGAGTCGAGTCACATATATTAATATTTACTAACAGAGGAGACTACTCCTGTGGAAGGATATACTTCTCTCCCAGATTTGCCTATGTAAGTGGAGGGTACATTGATAATTACTGGGTGAGAGGGGGGGGGGAGGGGCTGTATTAAGACAACAGAATTATCGTTAAGTGGCAACTAGCTGTATGGAGCTCTAGTTGGAGGTATGTGTAAATCTCTCCAGGCGTTGCGTTAAAGGCAGACAACTCCTAACAGCGTAGTTGGGTAGATAGCATAAAATCTAAAAAATAAAAACCAAACATAAACATTCTGTAATTGTGCCGCTATGAATAACTGCTATTGAGGGAACTGCAGTCTGAGGTCTTGGTGGCCCCTTGTATGACAGGTAAGTCCTGGGACACACTTTCAGCTTGTCAGGTCTTCTCCTGTGGATATGTTGGACGTTGGGATAGTCGGGAGAGGGATCCAGTCAGGAGAGACCCGATGCCGCCACCTGGGGAGATTCCGCAAGTCCCAGTTTGCTTAAGTGCGTCTCCAGCTCGGAGAAGCAGCGAGCTCACTGCTTCACAGTGGGGATGGTATTTTTTTGACTAAAGGACTTGTTGACCCCTCTTTAAACATAGGGCTTATGGTTGTGACCATAAAGCTCTATTTTGGTCTCGTCACTCCAAATTACAGTGTGACAGAAGCTGTGAGGTGTGTTAAGATGTTGTCGGGCATATTGTAACTGGACTTTCTTGTGTCATTGGCGCAGTAAAGGCTTCTTTCTGGCAACTCGACCATGCAGCTAATTTTTCTTTAAGTATCCTCGTATTGTGCTCCTTGAAACAACCACACTGTTTTTTTCCAGAGCAGCCTGTATTTCTCCTGAGGTTACCTGTGGGTTTTTCTTTGTAACCCGAACAATTCTTCTGGCATTTGTGGCTGAAATCTTTCTTGGTCTTCCTGACGAATTATCCACTTCTTAATAAGTGTTTGAACAGTACTGACTGGCATTTTCAAGGCTCTGGATATATTTTTATATCTTTTCCCATCTTTATAAAGTCCCATTATCTTGTTACACAGGTCTTTTGACAGTTCTTTTCTGCTCCCCATGTCTCAGTATCTAGCCTGCTCAGTGCATCCACGTGAGAGCTAACAAACTCATTGACTATTTATACACAGGCACTAATTGCAATTCAAAAACAGGTGTGGGAAATTAACCTTTATTTGACATTTTAACCTGTTTGTGTCACCTTGTGTATCTGTAACAAGGCCAAACATTCAAGGGTATGTAAACTTTTGACAGGGCCATTTGGGTGATTTATTTTATCGTTATGATTTAAAAAGGAGCCAAACAACTATGTGATAATAAATGGCTTCATATGATCACTATCCTTCAATAAAATATTATTTTCTGCATGATCACTCATATTTTCAAAATCAGTACCACAATTTCACAATTTCTGCCAGAGTATGCAAACTTTTGAGCACAACTGTATTCTGAGATTTCCTACTAAAACATTGCCCACTACCATGCTGATGGATTGTCTTTTAACTTTACTCTCTCTTTAGATATAAAACTGTTTGGCAACATGTTTATTCCTCTACGACCATTACTTGGTTTCATCTTTGTCACGCTGCAGAATAAAAATAACAAAAAATAAATAAAAATATTCCAAGTGAGTTCCTTGACAGTAAAAAAGGAGTTAAACACCACACCCCCTTACACTTAGCTCAAGCTATACTAGCAAAGAAATACCCCTTCTCCCAGCTCTCTAACCCCCTCTCTCTAATCATGAAAATAGATCCTGCATCTTTAAATAATTCATGTTAATCTAGCTGCAAGATGGAAATGACGGGCTGTGAATACAGTGACATCAGCAGCAAAGCAATAACAGCCACCTGCTTCCACTGAGACACATCCACAGAGAGAGAGAGAGAGATAGAGAGGGAGGGAGGAAGCGACCGAGCAACACTCCTTCCTAACCCTTCATTACACTTCTGCTACAGACAGGCTCTCCAGGTGAGTTACCTGCCCCCCCATTACACCTCTGCGTCCTCATTCACCCTCCTCCCCCTCTGCTCTCATCCGCCCCCCTCCTCGCCCTTCTAACACAGCACTTTGGAAGCAGCTCCTGTCTATTTCCTGCAGCTGCTCGGCAGTAGTGTTTGTCTGCTGGGTCCTAGAAATATCATCGTGAGCATGGCAGGTCCTACGTGTAGTCTTTACGGGCACCTGGGGAGAGTAGTAAGCGGCATTCAGCAACCATTGGCCAAATCTGAGGCAACTATAGCACACTGTGGGTTAGGTTACCAGCGGAACTTCTGAGTGTTCCAATAGAACCCTCTGCTATTTATTTATAAAATATTTTACCAGAAAGAATACATTGAGATTACTCTCGTTTTCAAGTACGTCCTGGGCCCACAGGGTTATCCAGCAAATAATTAGTCATCAATCTGCTGTCTTAGTCACTAGACTAGGCAGTGATGGGGGTCGATTTGATTATGGAGGGGTGTATAAAACTTAAAGTACATTGTTTACGCACAGCATAGACCTCCTAGAAACAGCCATGGTTAAAAATAAAACAATCTCTTTAAAAGAGCCCAAGATTGTAAATATTTGAGTGAATATTTGACCACCTAACATTTGGAGAAGGCAGGACCAGCTCCTCCATTATCAGTATGCCACTTTGTAATGGTCACAAGGATGACTCTGGATCTGAGATCCCTTTGGCTACCCTAAATGCATCATTAGCTGTAAGAATAACTCCCCTTACAGTAATAGGACTGCCATGTTTCACAGAGTGCAGCAGCTTAGATATTTCATTGTTTAGACATCACCGTGTGCAATAATTAAAATGTCAAAATCATACTAGCTTCCTGTATTTTGAGCTGGTTAGGGTGCTGGTGCCTCAGGGCTGTAAGATAATGATATTGGGCCCAGCCCACTTAGTCTGAGATCTGGCTGTGTGGGATTTATCATGACGGGTTTAAAAAAACAAAAATAACAAAACACTGGCAGCTTCTGAATGAAAACAGGCTTGGCCAATTTGAGCTGTTGCCTGAGCTTGTGAGCTTTGCTAAAAAAAAAAAAAGAGGAGGGGGAGGTGGGGGTGTCTGCAAGGAGCCAGGACTGATTCGTGATCCTCTTTGACTGCATGTGATGTAGGGGTGTGTGGGAGGTTTGTGTATTTTTATGTTGTAGAGGGGTGTTAGCAGAATTGCAGTGTGAATGTGTGTGTAGGTGATACCTCTCCATGTGTCCCATCTGTTGAGGTGCGCTATTCCTTTCAGAGTTTACTGTATCTGTCTGTCTCTGATCTTGGAATTGGAAATATAATATATAAGAATATAATAGCAGCTGCAGGGCTTGGCAACATCCTGTGTTCCAGCTGCTATACTCTAAAATCCTCATCTTCCCAAACCTTCTCCATTCAGGAAGTTGACTGTCCTGATCTGGAGGGGATTTTTTAATTTAAAAAAAAAAAATTTGTGATAACGATACTACAATTTCATTTCCAATGTTCATTTTGTGGATTATACTATACTGTTTTAAATGTATTTTTTTAAATTGTGAATTTAAATTGACATTATTTATAACACACTCTAAGGTAAGTTTAAAGTGATGGGTTTGGGTTTAGAATTAAGGGGGGTTTGGTCTCAAAGGAGTTATTCCTTTCAAAATGCTGTGGACTGTTACTCCCATGATTCTCAGTTTAACTAACAAATTATAGTTAATTGCTAGAGCTGAGCACCCTTCACATAAAAATAAAATCCACATAAACTACTCATCTCTAAATACCCATCCTAAGGGATTAGTGGAACTGCTCTACTCATTCTCAAAATCATGGGTGTGCGGGAGTATATGGGACGATAGTGTCTTCCTCAGTAATTTTTATCTTCTGCTAACCATATTAGGTAACCATGGATTATAATGCAGGCGGATTGGAGATCAGTATAATTTTAAAAAGTACATTTAAACTGGGAAAAATTCCTAGAGTTGCTGAGAATTGTAGAGGAAAACAACATATATTTTGAGCCAATCCACGTCATTCCACTGTTTTCAGAGAAAGCAATGATAGTACATCATAAACATCTTCCCATAATTGCCACTGTAATTGTTATCCTATGGTTCAAGTACTGTAAAAACAGATTCTGGTGCAACAATATTCTATTAGTTTTTCTGAGATTAGCAAGAATCCCTAATTTTCACTCTTACTCTTGGCACTTAAAGGGTTAAACCTGTATTGACTCTACATTCTAATTTCTTACTTACTGGCATCTGTTAATACATCCTAACTACTTACCAATGCCCAATTCAATTTTATAGTACGTAAATACCAGCTGGGCAAGATTTGACTTGGCATGTAGGTTTGAATTTTTATTGAATAAAATGTAGCCTGAGGGTTTAGGTCGCCCCCAAGAACTTTGAACACCAGGGATAACTGGCTGTGGTGCTCTGAGTTTGAAAATCCTACCTATACCTACTCCAATGTTTAGTAACGTGACTGGCAGCGATTCTAAAGACTCCCCAATTTATGCTGCTGGAGATTCCATATTCCTTGGCAGCCTGCAAAACATGTTGTATCAAGGGAGAAATGTTTGGTAATACTGTTGGAATTTGCAGATACCAAATTTGCTTCAAGATCCAGTACAATCTGACTTCTCCTTGAGGTCATTGATGACTCTACGCTCTAGAATTCCGTGGGGTTTATACTTAACATGACAAAGAGTGAAATTAGCAGAACAACAGCTGTACATTCTGTGCCATTTTAGAATTCGGTCTGGGGTGCCTTGCACAACCATTACAATGTGCTGTAGTGGTTATAGTGCTTCAGTGTCCCTTTAATCTCCCAACACAGCTGAAACGCATACTGTGTATACTTTTGTACTGTTTCAGTATAAGCAGCTATTATAGTTATACTGTTCCCTATGTGATATTTCACATACCCAGTATTCATGCACTAGCAGTTCAGCCTTTTGAATTCTATTGTGTCACTGCACTAAACCCGTATCAGACAAATAACCAATATTTGTATTTTATTACCTACTTGTTATGAACAATCTAACATTAAAAATAAGTATATTTATTTTTTATGTGTTCTTTAGTGTAATAAAATAATAAGATTTGGATGAAGTGCTAATCCATAAAAAAGTAGGTATGTTAAATATTACATAAGGGATAAAAAATACAAACGTACATTTAGATACAAGACACTCAGTCTCATATGCGTGTGTGTGTGTAATATATATATATATATATATATATATATATATATATATATAGCACAAATTCAACGGTAAGCCAGCTCCGGGGAGTATCCTCCCAGTAGTCACTTCTCTTCTGAGATCATCCTTACAGGTTATCTCTGATCCAATCAAATTCTTCTCAGAGGAGCATTGGGACCTATGGAACATGTATGGCAATCGCCACACTCCATCAATCAGATGCTTCTCAAATCTGTTATACAAACATGTGCCAGGCTTCATTGACAAAGTGGGTTCCATTTTTTCGTAATTCAGCTGTGGACAATGCCTTTTATTTTGCTAGATTCATACACTGATCAGCCACAACATTAAAACTACTGACAGGTGAAGTTTATAACATATATTATAACGTTACAATGGCAATTGTCATGGGGTGGGATTTATTAGGCAGCAAATGAACAGTCAGTTCTTGAATTTGAAGTAAGAAAGTGAAAAGATCTAAATGACTTTGACAATGGCCAAATAGTGATGGCTAAACAACCTGGTCAGAGCATCTCCAAAATGGCAATTCTTATGGGGTGATTCCGGTATGCAGTGGTTAGTACTTCCCAAAAGTGATGCAAGGAAGGGCAACTGGTTAACCGGCATCAGGGTCATGGGTGCTCTAAGTTCATTGATGCACGTGGATGGCTAAAGCTAGCCCGCCTGGTCCCGTCACACAAAAGAGTTACTGTAGCTCAAATTGCTGGAAAACATAATGCTGGCTGTAATTGAGAGGTGTCAACATACAGTACATTGCAATTTGCTGCTTATGAGGCTGCATAATGGTGCATCACGACAACCACTGTCCACCTCTTAAAGTGCCTTCAGTGGTAACGTGAGCTTCAGCAATGGACCATGGAGCACTGCAGTGGAAGAAGGTTACCTGGTCTCATGAATCACATTTTCTTTTAGATCAGGTGGATAGCTGGTTGTGTGCATCGTTTACCTGGAGAAGAGATGGCACAAGATGAAGAAGGAAGGCCGGCAGAGGCAGTGTTATAATCTGGGCAATGTTCTGCTGGGAAACCTTGCTTCCTGGTATTCAAGTGGATTTTACTTTGATACCACCTACCTAGAGATTGTTGCAGACCACGCACACAATATTGTTCGCTGATGGTAGTGGCCTCTTTCAGCAGGATAATCAACACTGCCACAATGCAAAAATTGTTCAAGAATGGTTTGAGGAACATGGCAAAGAGTTCCAATTGTTGACTTGGCCTTCAAATTCCCTAGAACTCAATCCAATTGAGCATCTGTGGAATGTGCTAGAACAACGAATGTGATCCATGGAGGCCCCACCTCAAAACTTGCAGAGCTTTAAGTATCTGCTGCTAATGTCCAGAAACCACAGCACATCCAGAAGTCTTGTGGAGTCCATGCCTAGACGCATGAGAGCTGTTTTGGCAGCACGAGGGGAACCTACATGATATTAGGAGGTGATTTTAATGTAGTGGTTTATCAGTGTATAGTAATAACTGATAGACTTGTACAGTGCAGTCTGCCCCCTGTACAAAGAATGCTAAAAAGCCATTTTCTTCCTGTCCTACAAACATCAGAATTATCTCAATGGAAAACCAACAGTCAGATTTCTCCTTGGATCAACAAGCTGTTACTCCACCTATCAACTTTTATATTCTTCAATATTATGTTTTTTTCAAAAAAAAGCATATAGACGTTGTCTAGGAATCTGAACATAATCTAATAAATAAACCTCTTTAGGCAGATTATTCCACATATTTGTTGCCCTTACTGGGTATTCTTACCACTGATATCTACAGATACAGCATACCTGCCAAATGGATTGGATCTGATAGGACTTTCCCATTACTGGCCTCATATTCTGCCATGCAGATTTGCATAAATGACAAAAACAAAAACAAGCAAAATGCTCATTCCAGCACATTTTATTTACTGCGAACACAGTAGTGTCAGAACACCCATTACTCCCATGTTCACTTGAAAGGGTCCCTGTAAGCACCATGACTGCACCAATTTGAGTCTCTATTAAAAAACACTGTGGGAAATAAACACAAAATATTATCGTTTTACCTCAGTGTGGTTTTTTTTCAATTTCAGGGCCCCCTTTTTACTTCAAAAATGATTTAGAAATTAATCCATTATCTACTAATAAACCAGCGCAATACCTCTTTTGAGCAGCCAAATCCTCCTCTGCTGATGTCATAAAGCCTGAAAAGATTTCTGTCTAAGCAAATGTTTCTCATTGAGAAGCATTATGGACTTAATGGACGTGTGCAGCAATTGTCATGATTCACCAATCATATGCTTCTCAGAGAAGCATTCAATCTATTGCTTCTCCTTGAGAAGCATTGAATGTATGACGTCCTCATGCAATGTGCGATGATTTTGAACGTTAAGAACTGACTCAAACTCAGTTCTGATCGTAAAAGCACCATCTAAGCACCATAAGGTGTTACATTGCGGTGAGATGAAGATGGTCTGGGTGCTTATAGTGTCCCTTCAAGCTGCCTAAATGTCCAATGTCAACTTTCTCCAAGTTTTGTGTGCAGTGTTTGCACGCCTCATGTATAACTTGGAATGTATTCTTTTTTATACAGTGAGTGAGAGCCGAGCTGCAGACCGTGCATGTTAAGACTGGACGGTGTGCTAAGAGAAGTGTTACGACTAAGGCTCTGTCGATAGTAGAACATAACTTTGTTCACTAAACAGTGAAGCAGGCTATGTGTAAACTGCTAGCTATCTCTGTATGGCTGATATCAGTTTATAGAGCAGTTTCATGTATCCCAATGAATTAGTTCAACTGATCTTGGACAAAAACTACCTATTCTATAAATCATGGTTGTGCAGGAGTTTATGGAACGATAGTGGTTTCCTTGATGATCTTCCAGTGATCAAGCGAAGCTTTAAATGTGAGTAACTTTTTATTTTTTTCTGCATTCTTTTTCTATAGCATTTTCTATATAATCAGTTAATAATAAGGCTATGTTTTACCCCACAGCTTCCATTTAGGGTATGTTTTATCTTCTGCCAACCATATAGGGGAAACATGAATTATAGAAGGACAAATAATGCATGCGGTTTGGAGATCAGTATGATTAAAGTAAAAAATAAGTAAATTTAAACTGGGAAGAAAATTCATGTTCAGGATGCTAATCTTACCCACTCATGTGTTATGGAGAAATGCCCAATGGACAATATCAGTCTTAATCTGAGTGTCCAGTGGGTTTACACAAGAAGTAAAACCATTTTTCTCATTAGAGTCCCCCTTTTTAATACTAGTTATAAAATATCTTGTACATAAAATAAAAGTGAATGTAGGTAATTGGGCAAAAGACACATCACTTGGTTGAAAAAATAAGCTGAATTACGATATAACCACTACATATTAATGTAGTGGTTTTGGTGAACAGATGTCACCCCTTTTTTTCGGACAGTGTCTAGGGTTGCTGAATCTCTCATGTAGAGGGAACCATTCACAGCATTTCAGATCTGGACTGTCCTTTGTAGGATAAGTTTGATATGCAAATTGGATAGGTTATCTCTGTAATTGCACAATTGAACACAAAATCTTTGGGATAGGGGGCCTGAGCAGAGACTAACCAAAGGGCAAGCTACTAAATGTATGCCCGTTCTCAGTGTTCCCATATTCTCTGTTTTTGTAAATATTGCCCTATCTGAGAAACAGCAATCTTTACATTTGTCCAAAAATGGTCCCTTAGTGGCTCTCAGACAGACATATTAAATCTAGGCTAATATGGCTAGACGTATGCATTGTTCTCTAGTGTAAACTGTAAAGTAAATGTGACATTTATACACTTTTGATAAAGGTAAGAGTGAAAAAAAGTAGCAGAATTATGCACTAAAGTGAGAATCCAAGATGAATTTCAAATTTAAGAAAAAAGTAGCCAAACTGAAAGCAGCTGACTAAGAGAATTGTTCCAGTTTGGTTATTTCGACCTTAGAGTTGAATTCACCTTGAATTCTCGCTGTAGTAAATAACTCTGTATGTATGCCAATTAAAGGTTTCATTCATTGAAGTGTTCATTGTCCAAAAAAAGGTTGGGAACCACAGCCTTAAGAGAGTCAATCACTAAATTACAGCAGAGCTATATACCGTGCATTTAATTAGTATTCACCCCATGGATTTTGTGTGTCATGTAGTATCACAAAATGGAGTTAATAATGATTTTTACTGGTATTTTTACAAACAGTGATTTACATAGTTACCTAAAACTTTAAAGAACATTTTTATATCGTTATACAGGTGTAAAAAAACCAAACACTACCAAATATTTTTTGGTAGTGCATTGTCTCTCTTTGCTATGTGAATCTGTAATAACCTTGGAAACCACATATTTAGTTGCATTGAGTCCACGTTTATGAATTTAACATACACGTTTCTCTGAACAGAGTTTGTTCGACACGGTATCCACTAAATTTCAAACTGTAAAAAAGTGAAATATTTTCAAACTGTATGGAGGTGAAATTTAAACCGTATATCAACAACAATATAATTACCAAGGGGCTCTCAAACCAAGTCCAGAATAAGGTTCTAGAGAGCAAATATCGGGGTTAAGTTAAAAAATAAACAAATTCATACTTTGTATATCTATTAAATCTATAGTACGAAAGAGAAGAATAAGTCATTACTCTAACTCTACATAGAGAATGCTTTTGACCAAAGCTTTGTGACCAGATAAGATGGGCATTAGTTAGGGAAGCAACCAAGAAACTAAAGGAGCTGGAGACAACTATGGGGAATGCTCTAAAAATCACGGTCAAGGATATGTGATGAAAAGAAAGCCATTACTGCAACAACAAAAAAATATGGCATATCAAATCCAGTTTGTAGTTTGCCAAAACCCTGCTCCCTTTTCTCATGGGTTGGCCGCATTCACTCAGCGTTTACAATTTTCTAGAGGGATTGCAGAGGGAGAGACACTTTGATTTGGAAAGTTGGAGAGACACTATAGGGCAGTGATGGCGAACCTTTTTGGGTCCGAGTGCCCAAACCGAAATACATGCCAACTTTTTTTTCCTCAAAGTGCCAACACGGCAATTAAACCTGAATACTGAGGTTTAAGTTTAGAAACAACAACTCGTACAGTTGTCCAAACTAATTAAGATACATACACAGTCCGCTAAATACACACACAAACATACACACAGTCCGCTAAATACACACACACAGTCTGCTGAATACACATACACTGCTGAATACACACACACACTGCTGAATACATACACTGCTGAATACATAGACAGACTGCTGAGTACACACACACAGACTGCTGAATACATAAACAAAGTCTGCTGAATACACACACACACTGCTGAATACATAAAGACTGCTGAATACACACACACACATACTGCATTGAGGGGTGCAGTGTGTGTGTTTGTGTGTAAGGGTGTGGAGAGTGGAGTGTGTGTGGAGTTCTGTGTGTAAGGTGTTGTGTGGAGTTCTGTGTGAGGGGTGCTGTGTGTGTGGGAGGGGTGCTGTGTATGGGGATAGGGGTGCTGTGTATGGGGGTAGGGGTGCTGTGTGGGGGGTAGGGGTGCTGTGTGGAGAGGTATGGGAGTTGTGTGGGGGTGTAGGGGTGCTGTGTGTAGGGGGTTGGGTGCTGTGTGGGGGTTGGGGTGCTGTGTGTGGGGGTGTGGGTGCTGTGTGTGGGGGTAGGGGTGCTGTGTGTGGGGGGTAGGGGTGCTGTCTGTGGGAGGGTGCTGTGTCTGAGGGGTGCTGTGAGTGTGGGAGGGGTGCTGTGTATGGGGGGGGCAGGTGGTGTGTGTGGGGGGTAGGAGTGGCGCGGTGTGGGGGTAAGGGTGGCATGTGTGGGGGGGTAGGGGTGCTGTGTGTATGTGGGGGGGTAGGGAAGATACATTAAAAAAATCAATTAAAAAAAAGTATATTAAATCTGTATCCCCCCCCTCCCTTCTTCTTGCCTTTGGTGAAGGGGGGGGAAGGGAGGACACAGCCATCCTTGGTGGACAGGGAAGCAGCTCTCTTGTCCTCCCGCGCTATGCTGTGTGGAGCGTTGCCATGGTAATGCATTGATGCAGACAGCGGCCCCCCTCCCCCGGCAACCTATGGCCGTGTGCCCACAGAGAGGGCCCGGCGTGCCACGCGTGCCATAGGTTCGCCATCACTGCTATAGGGCATAGTGGAAGAGGCCCTATTGGGGGGCATGGAGAGAGACACCATGGAGGGCTGTAGGAGAAACTGTTGGAGGACAGAGAAAGGAACACTATGGTGGGAAACTGTGGGGCAACAGAAGGGGTGAAAAAATGAGGATGGAGGAGGAAACAGTTTGGCACCAGGGACTGATACAGTTGGGGCAGAGCAAGTAACACTATATAGAAGGGGAGGGAGAGATACTATGGATGGAGATAAGATGGCAGCTGAAGGAGAGACAATATGGAGGCAGAGGGAAAATTAGTATGGAGGAAGATGAACAGAGGTAATTAAATGTGGGTGATGCAGCTCAGAGCTCTAGACGAGGGCCACAATCTGAAATTCTGCCTAGGGCCCAGGGCATCGCAATCCACTCTGTGTACAGGAAAGATGTGGGCATCAATCTTTCATATTTAGTACCCCTGGTCATGGTCTGGGACATTCTTGAGTTGCAACATTGAAGCAAACTAGCAGTTGGACTTTTAGTTTGATGGTCAACTAATATTGGATTTACGGACAACTGGCACCCAAAAACTATTTTTAATATAATAATCCTTTCATCAAGTTCTGATTTAGAAATAGATTTTTTTAAAGGAAATATATGTAAAAAACAAACAAAAACTAATCTCTGCCTTTAGTATATTACAGGATCCTTCAGCCATATGCATACACCTTGGGTCAGACAGTTTTTGAAAACCAACAGTTAGTCTCTATGGTCTTCCCTGCTTCTGTGCATGGAGTGAAGCAGGGAAGATCATAGAGACTAACAGTCATTTTTCAAACACTGTCTGCCCCTAGGAGCATGCATATGGCTGAAGGATCCTGTCATATACTAAACGTAGGGATGAGTTTTTCTCATTTTATTTTACATATACTTCATTTTTAAAAACCTATTTACATTCAAAACTTGATTTATGGATTATAACAAAAATATAGTTTTGAGATGACAGTTATTCTTTAACGTGTAATAATGTTCAAATACAGAAGAAAGCAGGAATTCCCAACAATAGACATTACATACAATTTTTATTATTAAAAGATAAACTTTATTAATGCTACATAATGATAAAATGATAATCAGAAAACATTTTTGTTTTAATATCACAATTTTTATTGAGTTCCCATAGTTAGACATTCCTTCTTGTATTCGAATTACAACTTGTAGCTGAGAACCTAGAAAGTCATTGTCCATATTGTTATAAAAGTTATAAAAGTGCATTTGGTCCAACTAGCTCCCCCTTTTCACCACAATCTCTGGTGTACATGAGATGAGAGTAGCAAAAGCACCAACCAACTTCTTCACATAGAAAAGCATCAAACTCAGTGCTTTTCTACCTGACGCATTTCATGGTACACTGCTGTATGTTGTGTACATTCACTGGTGGAGGGAGGGAGTATTCATTCAGAAGAAAGCAGAAGTGGTCTAACCCTATAACCCAAGGATATAACCCTACAAAATGTGTTAATGTCCAATCAGGTTGCGACATATCATAGGCATTGTATGCACTGCAGCCTGTTGTCTGTGATCTCTGTATGTTAGACTAGTCCTTCGTGATGTTACAGCAGCTGTTGGTCACCATATCAGTAAAGTTTTAAAGTTACTTTTTATAGATATTACATTTTGATTGGAGATTGGTTTCTCTTTTATAATACATTAACACTTCAGTACTGTTTCTTGGACATCCAAAGCCATTGTTCAAATCTGCATTTCTTGGTAGAAAATATAATGCATGTGCCGTGGTCTATCTAAATGCTTTGCTTTTCCAAAACAACAGAGTCTGGGGTTTATTTTTGCCTTGCATAAAGAGAGTGGCAAAATTGTTATTTTGAGTCTGTCAGGGTATTCACAAAAGTGAGAATTTAAAGTGAAAATGTAAAGTCATGCAAATGTACTTTGAATTCACAATTTTGTAAATATGTTAGTATGTCTTCCTGCTAGAGAAGTATCAGCTAGCATGTATGTTTCATTACGACAAATGAGCCTATAAGGATCCTTGCACCCCCCAAATCGCCCTTTCATTGGATGGGGTTACAGGTAGCCAGAATGAAGCAGATTACCCTATGGTGTCTTGACCTTCACTCCAATACTTGAGGAGTGACATCGTCATGTGTAAATAAAATTCTATGGCTGAGTGTGTATGTCATTAACAATATCAGCCCTGCAAGCATAACCTCTGCACTCAGCATACTCTTCGTAGTACATGTACCTGTAAATGGCCTGTCGAGTTCACTTTACTTGTAACCACTAAGTCAACAACAAAACATCTATCTGGTTCTCAGGTCTCCTGACTCTTCCCAGTTATTCTGCATGGCCGTCTGTGGCATGATGCAAGCATATCACCCTCTCCCACACTACCTTGAGATGACATTAATCTCATTAGATTTGTTCATTGCCAAAAGTTGGCAAAAATAGTTCACCAGTAAAAGTAACACATTAATAATAATTTAAATAAGGCTTACATTTCTCTCTGGATCTCTGTAATCATGATACCTACAGGCAAAACTCTGAGAAATTACTTTGTCTGATACCATTTAGGCTCAGTTAGAATATGAATGCCTGGGTGCACTTTAGCTATTTGGTTGTTGACGGTCATAGGATCAGTAGTCTTTTGTCTTTGACCACATTGTCCATTCTAAAATTAAAAGGAAGTCCTGCTACTTACTGTCTCCTCCTCCCCATGATTGGGGGTGGTTGAGGAATTTATTTTTCTTTACTGGAGCACCCTTCTGAGATACTTAGCATATCACTAGGAACAAAGATCAGGCTGGATTAAGATCTTTTTATGTTAAGTAGAAATACTAGAAGTACCTTGTACCAACATGGAGTTCACGCACTGCAAGGATAACAATAGACACCATTCAAATACCTTGGGTATGTGATATAGTTACTTGCTAGGCAAAGCCTAAAAGCTTAAAATAGAATTAATAGGAGCATAGGCATACTTTTCATGTAGTAGTTAATGGAATAACAAAATAATTATTGCACATTTCAAAGGCAATATGAAAAACCCATATGATAATTGTTGTAATTTTACTAATTAAGAAATTTACTAGAGCATTTCTCTTCGGTAGGTGATAATGAAAACAGACTAATATTTTGCAGAACATCAACTTTGAGAATTTCATGCTGCCTCTAGATGCCAAAATAAGCTGGAAAAACTAAAGAAATAACTAAATAAAATATACTGATTAGCTTGTTTACAGATTATCTGTTCAAATAAATCTCATTAATAATTAAAATGAATCAAATTACTTAGCACTTAACTTATTCAGTTACATATTAACAAAAGAACAGAGAACAGAACAAACACTATTTGGGATTTAGGATTCCTTATAAACCCTTAGGTTACTAATTTCTTCTTCCTTCAAGTTAAATGAACACTCCAGCTTGGACCTCACACCCTTTTTAAAATGATTTATATAGATAATGCATTGAAAAAAATATGCAAAAAACCCCTGCTCACCTAAATCCCAACAATGTGTAGGCCAGACATGGTCTGTAAATGGTGGGGGATCATATGACCAAGTTGTATAATTAAGATACACAAAGCAAGCTAAATGTCTTTATACAAGAGACAAGACTACGGTATATTTCAGTTACATAGACAGGCCATATATACATTTTGTGCACTTTTGCTAAAAAGAAATGAGATTAGGATTTTGGTTAATAAGGGCTCACCACAAGGGTAGATATACATTCTGCTCAATAAAAATAATGCCTCTGAAACATATAATTTCTTATATGTTCACTACCGGTAGGCCCTATCCAATTTTATTGAAACCCATGTCTCTGGTGCTCTAATTGTAGGAGTTGACATTAATGCTGCCCCTTGTCCAGTCATAGATAGGAGGTGGGTTGGGATCCCATGTCTCTGGTGCTCTAATTGTAGGAGTTGACATTAATGCTGCCCCTTGTCCAGTCATAGATAGGAGGTGGGTTGGGATCCTACAATCTCCCAATATGGGGTGCCAGGGCAAAATGCCAAATCAGTTAGAAAGCAGAAATTATTTTACATTTGGATGTTGAGAAATCCGCTAGAACAGGGCTGTTTTCTTTTTTGTCCCCACCCCCATGTGATTTGTTCCTGCACAGATTTATTCTTACTGTCCAAACAGTCTGTGGCTGAGGTCTTCTGCTTGTCAGTTCACTAGATCAGATGGTCAGATCATGCTGACGTTTCTATCACACTGAAACTAAATACATTGCTGCCCCTTGGAGCTTTAGGCAGAGAAGTATTCAGATGCCCCTAGGCAATTAACTGGTTTGGGCCTCGCTTTGTATTCTTCACATATGGAGGATGAATGGTAACAAGCAAATTCAAGGTTTCATGTCTAACCAGTGGGCCTTAGGCGGCTGCCCAAGGTGACCTTATGAATCGTCCTGCCAAACCCCAGAGGCTTTCCATAAGTAAAATTTGCAGGTTTGTGAGCAGATCTCCAAGGAAGCCACATGCTGTTTCCAAAAGAGTTGCACCCTGGGGGTATCTGTTCCACCAGTGTAAGATGCTCCTAAGGCCGTTATTAGTTATTAGAATTTACAAGTATATCTTCAATTCTAAAAAAAGCAAAAACAGAAGCCATCATTAGGTTACATAACTTGCTTAGGTTTCTAGAGCTGGAACACAAATTGCACCCTACCTTAGTGGGCTTAGTGGAATTAGATAGAACTAGGGCAGATATTGAGCAAATCTAGAGCCTTATATGTTCCAAGAGAACCTTCTATGAAGAGATGAACAAACTCTTAGCAAGAAAGATAGGGCCGTAGGGCTTCTTTTCGGCTGATCATCAAACTTCGAACTTGCGAAGGAAATATTACAACTAATTGCACTAACTTGGGGGTGGAGCCGGCAATGGACTAAAGGGGAGTAAACTCACCTTTTATAGGCTACAGGCGGCTAAATAGTTAAATTATAGCTATAGTGACAGTAATACATGTTTGTATTCCTGTCACTATAGTGTTCCTTTAAGTTTTGTAAGTTCCACAGCCGATACGAACAAACACTATCTGAAGATGAAATGTTAGGGTTGACTAAATTTGTTCCTGTCACATATTAGGGTTGTCCAGCATTTATGTTGGGGATAGTGCCCCTTTAACAATACAGCAAAAATAAAAGGAGAATACATCTCATAAAGGTTTAGCACTAGACACATTTTAAGACCCAAAGCACAAAATTAGAGTGAATAGCAAGAGATTAGACTTGAATAAAAGAGAATCTATGAGTTATTTATTAACCATGGATTTTAACACAATCGATCTATGTAGGCAAATCGGTCTGAACATGTTATCTTAAAAATATATTTTCTTTGTATGTTATAAATTTTTTAAGTTTTTGTATTTTATTGCTTTTCCATTTTTATGGTAATTTGATTTTGTTGTATTCTGTATATAATTGTTTTACAATATGAAAAAAAAAAATACAAGCTGGAAAAAAGTTCACGTTTTTATTTCTAAACTCCAAAACTGAAATTCAAATGGCACAAAAATAGCTGATCCCGTAAAAAAATAAATAAAAAAAATCCAGTTTCTCTTGGCTATTTTACCGCAACGGTTTAATCTTGTATATTCTTGTTTAAAATTTGCGACAGCTCACAATTTAGTAAATAAACCTTTTAGGTTTATTGACTCAACACTGAATTGTAACACCGAATTACAGAATTTAGGCAAAAAAAATTTGTCTAAAAGCCTAGTCAGTTGTGATTCTAACCCAGTTGGAGATTTAATTCCAAACCATTCATTTCCCCCCCCCCCTAAAATTTTGCTATATAGATTTCAGCCAACTACAATTCGGTGTTTATTGAATAAATCAATTTTAATAGTTACATTTGTTTATTTTATCCAGTCCAGCGGTTTATTGGCCTCAAATGTGAGACTCTCTAATCAGTTCTCTGTAGTCCCCAGTTTAATGAATAAAACCCCATGAAAACCCTTTTCTTATTTTGTTTTTGTGACTGCGTGAACAAAGTGATCCTCTCCCCTAGGCCTCCCAGGACAGCATGCTGTTGTAATAATAATATAAATGCGAGCAGTGCCCGGCAGCCTCCCCCTTTCAGTATCGGAGCACATTTCGTGCTATGTGTAAGTGAATGCGGCGCTCTCTCTCTCTCTAGGACCCGGCGGCTCCCAGCAGCACTTCCTGCCTCGCTCTCACGGTGTGTGTACTTCCAGCCCCCGGAGCCGCTTGCCTCGTCCTGCTACCTCCCACAGGCCAGGCCGGGGACACCATGTGAGGACAGGCCGCAGCGCGCACAGACTCTCTCTCTCTCTCCAGCCTGGCTCCCAGGTCAGTCCCCGGGCCGGCCGGTGGGTGTGTGGGTGGGTGGGTGATCCAGCCGGGCTCCGTGTAGCACTGTGTGTATCCCTGCCCTGGGTATCCCTGAGCCGGGCTCCTGGGAGCTGGACACTTCTTACAGCAACACTTCCCCAACTTCATGGACCAGGACCGGGCTGCCCTCCCTCCCCTCCCTGTATAGAGCCCAGTGCTGTGTGATGGGGTGTGTGTGTGTGTGTGTGTGTGTATAGTCAGTATTACACTGTATGGCACTGTGTGACTGCTGCTTTATAATCACTCTATATATTATAACTATAATAATAATAATAATAATGCTGTAAGTGCGTGTCTCACTCAGCCTCTCATTACGTATGTGTACACAAGGCCTAATCAGCCATTTAATGGCCTCCCATTTCATTCCATGTTAATCTGCATCAACCCACTCATTAATATCTCCGGCTCAGCTCTCTCTCTCTCCCCCCATCCCATGCTCCCAGTACTGGAGGAGCACTTACCTGCTGTATGGGTTTACCCTAGCTGGGGGGGGAGGGGGGGGGGTCTGCTCTATAAATGGGGATTTGTAAAAAAGAAAAGGAAAAACATTTTAAGGAATAAACTTGTGTGTATTGTTGGTGTGATTGGGGCTGGCTGTGTATTGTGTGTGTGTATTGTGTGACTCTGGCTGAACAGTAGGTGTCCCAGTAAATGGTGTGTTTGTTATATAGCGTTATTCTCCCTTACAGAGCTTACATCTGGTTTGTCTGATTATCATAATATTTATTTATTTATATATATATTTTTTTTTGGAGACCATTTTATAACTGGTTAAGCTTCATTTTGTAATAATCAGAATAATAATGTGTCAAGCAATCCCCATGGTGCTCACATTGAAGCAAATGGAGTTTGTGCATTTAGATCAGTTGGAACTTTTTTTTTTTTTTTTTTTTGTCTCTTTGTTAATGAAAGCTGAATTCTAGCTCTTTTTTTTTTTTTTTGATACATAAACAAGGGTGGGGCACAGTGTAAATTGAGTTTCTTTATGATGTGCTATAGAAGTCAGTTGCTGCTCTTATTCATAGCAATCGTTTCATGTAATTTAAAAGGAGTTTGGAAGGAAGGATGCTATGAAATGCCTCCTTCCTCCTGCCAGCTCCATGAAGGAGTGAATGCATTAATTTATAGACTGCATCACTCAACTGAAAAGTTGTTTATCATATACTAGTAGTACATTATACTAGGGTGACCCTATATTTAATTTTGTTAGTATATCTGGGTTCACCCTACAGGATGCTACGTATTTAACCATTATATGATCAATGGTATTCCACAAATCATGATATAACAGGTTTTGCTCACCCCCTTGACACCAAGGGGATATGTATAACTTAATAAAGCACCAGTGTGATCGCCATATGTATACATCTCACATTAATTTGGTTATATCCATATTAGATATTCTATCAGAATTGCACCTATTAAAATTTTTTATTTTACAGAGCCTCTGTTTTCATATATGTATCTAATTAAAGCCTGTCTATAGTAATGATATACTTAGACATTTTATTCTGCCCATATAAAACATTTTGTTAACATTAGGTGGATGTTTCTTTTATTCATTTATTTTGCTTTCCTAGCTAAACAAACATAACGTTAAAGAGATATTGGTAAACAGATTGGGGATCAACCAATATAATTTTTCCAAAACCAGTGCTGATACAGATTATTCACCTTTAAGACCAATTGCCGACAAGTGGTGCTGATATTCTGTACATTCAATGTTTTGAAAAAGCAACACAATTTCTACACAAATCTGGCAAATACTGAACATTTTGATATCATCCAGACTCCTGTCATTCTCAGGCAGCCAGTACATGCTGGGATTAGTGTGATCCCAGCATGTATTCACTGTCTTTTCTTTCCTTTATCAGGCAATGATCCAATAAGTGTCAATATATTAAGAAATTCCTTTTTTATCTTCAGATTTTAGACATATTAACCCAATAGCCATTGTCAATGCTGTACTCTGGCTCATGTGTGAAAGTGCTACATCCTCCATAGAGCGAGCCAATTCCCTGCAGCCTACACCGGTGACAGCTGGGGCATTGACACTTCTTGAAGGCGGTAGCTCCGACAAGTTTAAGGCATAGGAAAAATACTGCGACAAAGTAGTCCTTACTTTGTCTCCGTATATCTGTTGACTGGTCTGGCATTTCAGTGGAATCCCAATACGGTCAATGTAAGTATTTTTTGGTGGTGTTTACATTGATGCTTTAATGTCCCAACGTACCAAACACACAAAATATAGAGGTTTGACAAAGGTCTCATATTTTTTTTTTTTTTTAACTTTCTCTTTTTAATTTATTCTGGTGTTGTTGTGGGTCAGTAACTTATTTTGTGCTCTAGGGGCATTGGACTTAAATATAATCAATTGTTTAATCTATTTAACGTCCAGGTTTGGCATACAAAGTAAGAGAAACATTGGACTTGTGAATCGCAGCTGTTACCGTGATTTCGCTTTTCTCTTAATGCTTCACTATAAGAAGTATGACAAGACAAAAGTTATAAATGTGCTACTTGCCTCATTTGCTTTGCAGCCTCTAGACTAGTGACTATCTGACATCCACTACTTGGCCTGGAAATTGCAACATGAAAATCAGTGAACCAAAGGGCATGACGTTGTATGGCATGTTTAGTTTCTGTTTCAAATGCAAATAATATCAAAAGGCCTTTTTATGTGACAAATAAACAAAATGTTGTGGCTGAATCTAACATTTAGGTATGTGTTTGAAATTTCAGATATGGAGGCAAACAATTATTTGGATAGCTCTGGCCAACCCACATTACCAAAAACCTCAGGACTGAAACAGCTGCCTCAATCTTCAGAACCAGTTTACATGACCAGTTCTCATTTAAAACTTCCCCAACAAGCAAAGGGTATGTATCCACATGTAAAACATTGAGGCTGAGCAATATTCCTATGAAAACTGCCTCCCCGTCAACCCCATACATAACCTCTTCTGCAAATGTTTGTATCGATGAGCAAATAAATCCTTCCCCTTTCAAATCTTCTTATATTTAAAGGGACAATATAGAGTCACCAGAACAACTATAGCTTAAAGTAGTAGTGAGGCTATGTACATTGCCATACCCACTCCTCAGATGGCCACTGGAGGTGCTTCCTGGGGCAGTGGTGCACCGTAGGCAGCACTGTCGTTCAGTTTCTCCACGCACTGCATGGGGATGCTGAATTTTACTCATAGAGATGCATTGATTCAATGCATCTCTATGAGGAAGTGCTGATCAGCCATAAGAGCGTTTAGCCCCGTCCCCTTGGCGATTTTAGCCAATCCAATGCTCTCCCCAATGGAAATAAGGTGAGTTTAAACCTTTTCGGTGGGGGGGGGGGGGGTTTAGCACTATAGGGTCAGGAATACATGTTTGTGTTCCTGACCCTATCGTGTTCCTTTAAATATCTCAACTCTAGCTGATTGTAATTTTCAAGATACTGTTACTTTGATGTATATTTTCTAAAACCATAATGTGTCCAGATTTGATTATAGCAAATTAGCTATTGGTGCCTAAATTGTACAACTTGTTTTTCAAATCACTGCAAACTGGTGTTGTAGTGAACAATCCATGTTGTGTATGTGAATTGTCAATAAACAATGAGATCATTGCTGAAAAAGTTTCTCTGAAGAAAAAGTTATTAAATTCATGCTTGAAGGCAAAAATATTTTCTATTTAGTGGTTAGTATAATATAAACATACTTTAATAAATCTTTTTTTTTTAACCAAAGAAGATCTCCTTGCACCAAAAGTCTAGTATCTTGTCCTCCGGTAATGTATTTTTTTTCCCCATAGATGTTAATATTTGTCATCCCTTCTTACAGGGCTATTCAATAAAGTGAAATTCATAGTTTGGTGAAATTAGTGTTATTTATAAGGGACTGAATTCTAACTTCTACTTTCACTAAATACATAATTAAGGTTTTCCTCTCTTTATTCAGGACTAAGTTGTGAAATGCCAGTCAATGGTCGAATATCTCCCACTGTATCTGCAAATGCCCAGGGAACATTTACATTGGATTCCAGCCCCACCTGTCATCCTGCATCTGCAAACTATGACTACCTCTGGAAATACACAAAGTCACCTATTCTCAAAGACTGCCATGGGCTTAGTCAATGTCAAGTGAATGGCTCGTCTTCTCCAGTGACCAATGGCCCTTCATGTAAGGGAAGTGCACAAGAGAACTGGGAAAACCATGTTACGAGCCCAGCTGCATCTCTCAGTTTTGGTGCACAGGACTTGTGCAATTTCAATGAAGCTAAAGTAAAGGTGGCAACAGCAGCTAATGGAACAAACCATGACTTTTTTGAGACTTCTAAACCAGTTCCTGGGTTGGACTCCTGCATACAGACTCTCTGCCCATCCTCCAATGCATGGAAACCAGAACAAATGGAGTCCAATACAACTGAAGAAACAAATAATGGCAGAGGGTTAGTGGAGTGTCTGGAGCCCTCTCATGAGCAAACAGGTGCTGTATACAAATTCCTTATTTATTATTTGCCTAAAATTATATTCTTAAAATTGCTGATCCTCTTTCTGTGTAGTGAACTACTATTTAATTGTAAGCAAACGTTTATATCAGGTTTGTTAACTAAAAAAAATAGAAATTTTATATATATATATATATATATATATATATATATATATATATATATATATATATATATATATATATATATATATATATATATATATTATACACTGCTCAAAAAAAATAAAGGGAACACTTAAACAACACAATGTAACTCCAAGTCAATCACACTTCTGTGAAATCAAACTGTCCACTTAGGAAGCAACACTGAGTGACAATCAATTTCACATGCTGTTGTGCAAATGGGATAGACAACAGGTGGAAATTATAGGCAATTAGCAAGACACCCCCAATAAAGGAGTGGTTCTGCAGGTGGTGACCACAGACCACTTCTCAGTTACTATGCTTCCTGGCTGATGTTTTGGTCACTTTTGACTGCTGGCAGTGCTTTCACTCTAGTGGTAGCATGAGACGGAGTCTGCAACCCACACAAGTGGGTCAGGTAGTGCAGCTCATCCAGGATGGCACATCAGTGCGAGCTGTGGCAAGAAGGTTTTCTGGGTCTGTCAGCGTAGTGTCCAGAGCACGGAGGTGCTACCAGGAGACAGGCCAGTACATCAGGAGACGTGGAGGAGGCCGTAGGAGGGCAACAACCCAGCAGCAGGACTGCTACTTCCGCCTTTGTGCAAGGAGGAACAGGAGGAGCACTGCCAGAGTCCTGCAAAATGACCTCCAGCAGGCCACAAATGTGCATGTGTCTGCTCAAACGGTCAAACGACTCCATGAGGGTGGTATGAGGGCCCGACGTCCACAGGTGGGGGTTGTGCTTACAGCTCAACACTGTGCAGGACGTTTGGCATTTGCCAGAGAGAACCAAGATTGGCAAATTCGCTACTGGCGCCTTGTGCTCTTCACAGATGAAAGCAGGTTCACACTGAGCACATGTGACAGACTTGACAGTCTGGAGACGCCGTGGAGAGCGTTCTGTTGCCTGCAAGATCCTCCAGCATGACCGGTTTGGCAGTGGGTCAGTAATGGTGTGGGGTGGCATTTCTTTGGGGGGGCCGCACAGCCCTCCATGTGCTCGCCAGAGGTAGCCTGACTGCCATTAGGTACCGAGATGAGATCCTCAGACCCCTTGTGAGACCATATGCTGGTGCGGTTGACACTGGGTTCCTCCTAATGCAAGACAATGCTAGACCTCATGTGGCTGGAGTGTGTCAGCAGTTTCTGCAAGACGAAGGCATTGATGCTATGGACTGGCCCGCCCATTCCCCAGACCTGAATCCAATTGAGCACATCTGGGACATCATATCTCGCTCCATCCATCAACGTCACGTTGCACCACAGACTGTCCAGGAGTTGGCAGATGCTTTAGTCCAGGTCTGGGAGGAGATCCCTCAGGAGACCATCCGCCACCCCATCAGCAGCATGCACAGGCGTTGTAGGGAGGTCATACAGGCACGTGGAGGCCACACACTACGGAGTCTCATTTTGACTTGTTTTAAGGACATTACATCAAAGTTGGATACCTCCATGAGTTGAAAAATTTGATTTCCACTTTTTAATTTGTGTGATTTTGTTGTCCGCACATTCAGCTATGTAAAGAACAAAGTATTTCAGAAGAATATTTATTTCATTCAGATCTAGGATGTGTTATTTTTGTGTTCCCTTTATTGTTTTGAGCAGTGTATATTTTTTTAAGGTGATCCCTGATAAGAGACTGTGGTTTCCTAATATCTGGATGAGTTATTTTATGTTTGGTTTTAACAATCCATGCGAGTGTTTACCATTCTCTTTCATGCTTTATTTTTTAGTATAGCTAATGCATCAATGTATTAATTAACGAGAAATGTAAAAACAATACATTGTAATTATAAAAACAAACAAAACCCCAACGTTTCTCTTTGAACTCCCTGAATTTACTAGAAATGTCCAGGATTTGCAGCCTCTGTAGTAGCCTGGCCAGTCTATAGAGCAGCTCAACCAAGTTTCTTCCCACTTTCAGTGGCAGTTCTGAGCTTATTCAGTACATCACTGCACAATAGGGTATTCTGGAAGGTGTAGTTCAGTTATTGGCCCTTTTATTATAGAAAGTTACAGTTTGTACAGCAAGTATGAAAGACCGTTCTAAACACAATGAAAATAGAAACCGATTAAACAGTGTATGAAATGTGATGTCAATTATTGTTCTAAAATGCTGACCTCAATTTGCACTGTGCTAGAACATTGTAAAAACCTTCATCTACAAGCACCTTATTTAGTTTCCTTATATATGTGTGTAATTTTTTTCCCACTTTTTAGATAAACACTCTAGTGAGTGCAATGGAACAGAAATGACATTGGCACCTTTTGGTGAAAACATGCCAAGCACACTTCCTCCTCCCCCTGATGTGAGCAATTTGGATGATCCTTCCCAGCTTCCATCCCAACTGGAGATTCATAACTCTGATTCATTGGAGCCTTTTGGAACAGCCTTCAGTGAAGGTAAAGTAGATTCATTGTGCATTTAATGCATTACTTCTATTCCACACCCTGGACCTCCTAAGTTCTTGGATATTTTATCTGCATTCTGCTGCTTTTGACATCCTTGTAACATACAGTTTCAAATTCCATCATGCTTACCTGAAATGTATGTCTAAAACTGATCATCTTCTCACCTTTTTCACTCGCTTTCTTTACAACTCTCCCCCTACTGTTATTCACTTTACAGTATCATCTATTAAAATCATACAGGAGATTTCTGCGTCAAGTACAAAACTGCCTTTTTTGTCTTCCTATCCGTCCTGACCCCATATAAACATCGTGTATCACTTCTTTGCACCGTAAGCTTGTGGTTAGGACTCTCCTCCTCTTTAAGCATTGTATTCAAAATTCCATAAGAGATGCTCCCGTCTTCTGTCCCTCAATAAATTTTCCTTTTAAAATTTTAAGTTTAAGGTAAAATATATTAGTGAGTTTTCAATGCTATTGAAAGTTTAAAGGAATACATTAAAAAAGGTGAAGTGTTGAAAACAAGTTTTTAGATTAGTGGATCCCCACTACCCTCTAGAAATCTGCACTTTTAGAGAGTGAAATAGAAGTGACACTCTGTTAAACATGAAAATGCTTCAGCAAGCTAAAGTGCTTTAGGAGTTTGGGGTGTTCCCTTAAGAGAGTTGTGTGTATTGCATTTTCTCTAACTGAAATCTTCCCGAGCCAGGATACATTTTCTGCAAAATATATATATTGTGTGTCTAAACTATCTTGCAGTAGTATGTATCTGTTCTATGATATGGACACTTCGTGTCCAAAGTTAAAGGAACACTATAGGGTCAGGAACACAAACATGTATCACTATCTAGCCCCCATCAACTCTTCCTCCCCCTCCCTCCTAAATACAGTGAAATTGTTCCTGCCGGTGCTGGCTCCACTCCTGACCGCCTCCTTGGCTGACATCATCAGAAATGATGATCTTAGCCAATCACAATGCTTTCCCATGGGAAAGCATTGGATTGGCTGAGATCGTCAAGAAGGCAGTCCAGGTGGTGGAGTCAAACACTGCCCTGATCAATCAGCATCTCCTCATAGAGATGCATTGAACAAATGCATCTCTATGGGAAATTCAGCTTCTGGTCACTGGAGATGTCCCTAGGTTGTAATGTAAGCCCTGCATTTCTATGAAAAGATGGTGTTTACAACAAAAAGTTTGCAGGGGACTGTCTATACTCACCAGAACAACTACATTAAGCTGTAGTTGTTCTGGTGACTAGAGTGTCCCTTTTAAGAGTTTCTGGAATCCTATGTAAATTTTATTGGTCCCATATTAATTGGTCCTGAGTTAAGACTCATCTAACACCTTTAGCTATTGTTATTTTTATATTCTTAAAAGGACATTCTAAACAACATAACCACAGGGTTTGTTGCCTAGAGTGTCCACATGCAGTCCACCGGTTTAATGTCAAACCATTTAGGACTATTTTGGGGTTCTTCCCAGCACCTGGAGATCACCCCTCATTAACATAATTTATAATGGTGGAGTTACACGCACTCACTATCAATGCCAATTTTTTTCTAAGGATTTTCACATTTTAGGCCAAATAGGTGAGCGGGAGATTTCTTTCCAGGTTTATTTATTTATGTCAAATTTCAATTAACAGTTTAGTTAAGAAAACTTGGTCATGAAACCGCTTAAATAAAAGGGAGGAGCACATGTTCCTAATCCAAATGGGGTTTCCTTAAAGCCCAACATGTAAACACCATACACTTTTTCTAGCAGACACATCTGTTATATGTTGCAGAAGTATTTTCTAATGCTGCTCTTTGGAATGGTTTGAGAAATCTCCAAAATGTCCTATTTAAAGAAACACTCCAAGCACCATATCCATTACAGCCTGTTGTAGTGTTTATAGTGCCATTCTGTCCTGGCACCCACTCAGAGTAATTTTGTCAAATTGTTTGAGAATAGCTTGACAATCTGACCTGACCCTAATGAATAAATATATAATATATAATATTACTAGACTCTCACGGCTGCAACCAGCTGAAGCTCTCAGCCTATCACCAGTGCCCAATGAAAAAGTTTCCGCATTGGGGCTGGCGTAGGTAGAGAGGCTGAGCTAATGGGCTCCGTCAAGAGGACTTTAGGGTTAAACCATTCAAAAATTGTTTAACCCATTAGATAACATTTGGTACTCTTGACCTCCGGGCACCATGATGACTTCATTGAAGATGAAATTGATAAGGTGCACTGAATAGTCCTTTAATTCTTTGTATAATAAATTGCATCTGAGTGATCTTTAATGTTCTTTGAACACAGAGATTTCATTCCCCCCCCCACCTCCTTTGTGTTTTCTATGGTACTGATAGATCCAGGAAGCAGCAACTTGTTTGAAATGGAGGAACAGGAGGTGGAGACCCAGCAGGATAACATTCCACTACTTGAACATTCGAGTTTGGACTGTCCATCGTATTCAAATTCTGCCTCCTTTCCACCTTTGACTGAAAATAATATAAATTGCTCTTCCATGTTCAGTGATGTTTCTGCTTCTCCTTCTCTGGGAGATTCTTTAATGCAAGGTATGTTGTCAAGTTATCAAGTCAACATGTTTCTTTAGATTCCTAAAAACAAAAAACAAAAAAACCTTTTTCTTTATCAGAGGGTATAGACTGAGCATGTGTAGCAACATTAAGGCTAAAGTAATGACTGTAGCCAAGTTAGAGAATGCTTCCAGATCAACAATTGTGGCCTGCATTTTCCATCTGCCACTATTCAGCGTTGTAGTGACTAAATACCTATATTGGAAATTAAGCAAAACTTAATATTTAAAAAGGCTAAGCAAATATTTAGGTCCAGATTATTGAAACAAAATGTATGTCTCCTTATTGTTACTTTAATCTTGATCCTGACCCATCCTTCAACCATATAATAACTGTCTTAATTGACATATATTTGTACAGAAAATAAACTTTCCTTGTAAGCAAGCACGCATAGCATACAAAACCATTTTAATGGCATGGTTTACACTGAGACCTTGCGCATATTAACATCTCCGGTTTAATTAATTGAATTAGCTTACACATAATTTTCTAGGAATGTCAAGCAATTATTTTATTACATCTGTTCTGCGGTGTTTGTCATACATAATTTAGAATGCTATATATATAATATATAATATTTTAAATGCATTAACAAATTATGCAAGGAAGAGGCTCCACCAGTCAGTCTTTAATTCTGTTTATGGGGACTGATTGAATTTCATAAACCCTGTCCACTAGTGATTTATGTGATTTTACTCTGCCATCATCCATAGTTCCACTGGTCAGATCTGATGAGTGGAATCGCTGAACAAGCTGACAGCAGACACACTACAGCTGCTGTCAGTTTATTATGTGCATAGGGTTCTCATGATCACAGTTACTACTTGTGCTCTGTGAGAGCCAAGAGGAGAGGTAGGAAAAAGGAGATTTCATACACATGTTTGGATGGGAAAGAAGGAGCTAAATATTCCTCATTTGATGTCAATTACTGAAAAAATGCTTAGTGTCACTAATTATAACCGTTTTAATACGTATCTGTTATTGATGTTGTTGCTAGAAAATTATTTAAACATACCTAGAAAATTCTTCTTTGCTCACATTGACAGAGGAGGAACACACCGTGAACGCTTCAAATTAAAAAATGCCCTTGTGTGCCTTTTTTCTTGTGCCCTTGGTGGTCTTGCAGTATTTTGCAGATTGTCGAGCAGGACGTGTTCTTTCAGTGTGGCATTTTGTCATTCATAAACCAAGCATTGAAGGCTAGTGTTATTAAAATTAAACCCCTGAAGATCTTGTTTTAAATAAAAATGTAATTTCTTAACATCTATAATGTTGGTTCTTAGTTTGCACAGGCTCATCGATTTTTCTGATTTAGCAGATGTTTCGTACCTAGCCTTTTATAATCGAATAAGTCCATAGTAAAGGAAATCTCTTAACATTTTTTGTCATGGAAAATAAAATTAAAGGTAACCTTAAAAGGACACTATAGTCACCAAAACAATTTAGTTTAATGAAGCCGTTTTGGTGACTAGATCATGCACCTGCAGTCTCACTGCTCAATTCTCGACCAATTAGGTCTTTCATCACTTTGTTAATGCAGCCCTAGGCACACCTCCCTGCATGTGAATTACACAGCCTTCCTAAACACTTCCTGTAAATAGTCATCTAATGTTTACACTTCCTTGATTGCAAAATCTGTATAATTTAGAATTTCTTATTTTCTGCTCTGTTAATAGCTTGCTAAATCCTGCAGGAGCTTCCTGTGTGTGATTTAAGGTTAAATTTACAAAGCAGGAGATAAAATGTTTTACAAAAAAGGCTTCATTGAGCTAATGTTGTTTTCATGACTACAGTGTCCCTTTAACTGTGTATTAGTTTGTAATTAATGTTTCCTGTTTTGTGCATATTTTGCCTTACCCTCACTGTTTGGGGCAGTAAGAAGCATCACTTATCGAAGTCTATGCAAACTTTGAAGCCAGGGACTACGTTTGACACTGTTGGCAGGGCCTGAAGCTCAAAGACACACTGGTTTCATATTGATGAGTCTGAATTCCTGTAAATAGTCACTTAGTTTTCTGTAAATAGTCCTAGTTTTTCCAAAACTAAAGAACATACATTCTTATTGCTTAGGTCAAGGGACCATACCCAAGATTGATCAGGTTGCCTTGTGCATGTTATTTGTCCATATTTGTTAATGCAATTAAAAATATTTATTGCTCGCCAAATAAAATAATCTACATGCCACTCATTGTAAAAATATTTATTTAATTTTGTATTTATTTTTTTAGTAGCCAGTTTTTACATATACAAGAGTATCGACATTCAGAATTGTATTTGTAATGTTTTGCTTATGTAAGATGGTAATGGCTTCTAAACCACATATTGTGTGTTTTGATAATAGACAAGAAAGCATCAAGTATGAAATCTGTTGTGCGCCGTCACCAGATTGGGCCCTGTTTGGATCATGCATGTATGTAAAATTTTACTATAATTAAAAACTATTTTGTTTAGGAGAGACAGGGCTTTAACCACTTCAGGACTAATTACATATGAGGTAAATCTGTTTATAATGGCAGCTGGTCCTTACAGGGTTAAATGTATGTATTCTGTTTTTTTTTTTTATGGCATATCTTCTTATGAGACACAATTCCTCCTCCTTCCTGTAAGCAGCCTAATGTTAGTGCTGTTGCACACAGATATCCTTTAATGGCTGTCTCAGCACTCTTCTCGCTACAGCTCAATGTATTGCATGCGGTGCCTGGGGACCCCTGGTGCCATCTCCTGGTTTAGTCATACTGTTTTTGACTGCTTTGACACTTACCTGGGTTCCATTGGCACTTGTGGTTTGGCCACTGAGTGCATGAGCTTGTACGGATATAAGAGCTTATAAGGGAATAAGTTGTAACTAATGATATTCATTATAAAAAAAAAAAAAAAAAGTGGCTGATACACATTTGACTGGCTAAAAGAGATAACGTTTCTGTCTGAAAACTTGAGAATGAAGAAGAACCCTGTTAAATGAAATATTTGCTTGTGATGGCCTTATTAGGACCTGGTGGTGATACATTTTATTCAACACGAGAAGAGAAATCAGTCTTTCTCTTCCTATACCAAGATGGCTGGACTCAAAGTGGCTACATTTGTGCATCATGGCAGCAATGTGTTTGTCTATTGAAATGAAAAATATACACAATGTTTCATTCTTTCATTATTTGTGGATGTTTCTGATGGTGTTTTCACTCTCTTCAGATAGCGCATCTGATATTGGTGATGAACCAGAGCAACACAAAGCTCAGGAACCAACCCCTGTAACTGAGAGCATCTCACAGGATGAAATAATTCAGGAAAATACAAGTCCTGAGCCCAGCAGTGCTGCCATGGAACTGGAAGAAGAGGACCTGGAGCCTGGTGAGGTTAAGAGTAAGCAAGCTGTTTCAATCTTCCAAGAAGGAAATGTTTTCTACTTTGTTGCAAAATTGGAAAGCGCTTCAAACTGTGTTTTTTGCCTTCTTTTGGAACGACAGCAAAAAGAAATGTCAGGCTGAGCTTGATGAACACATGTAACTGATAATAGTAACAATGTATTTCACAAGTTTGAATGTGTGGGTTGATAAACTTGTGAGTTGTTCTGTTTTGTCTTGTACCTCAGACACAACATCTGAACACAAACAGCCCTGTTCTGCTTGTTCTTTAGATAGCCTTGTATGGGTTAAAATTAGCCACTGATGCACCTTAAAGGGACACTATAGTCACCCAGACCACTTTAGCTCAATCCCCAAAAAAGGCTGGATTAACCCTCAATGTAAACGTAGCAGTTTCTCTGAAACTGCTATGTTTTCAGCTGCAGGGTTAAAACCAGGGGGACCTGGCACCCAGACCACTTTGTTGAGATGAAGTGGTCCTTTAAGCTTGGAAATATTCTCCTTAGCAATCTACATTCCAAAGAACTGAATTAACCTTTATTCCAAAGTTCACTGGACCTACTTACTATATATTATAAACCAAGTGACTTGAATCTTTCTGAATGCATAAACTAATTATGCAACGAATGTCCACCTCAGCCATCATTCTTTACCTAGCTAAAATGTATCCATTAAAACACTGAGCAAGTGTTCCTATCGTCATTTAACCCCTTAAGGACCGAGGACGGTTCAGGACAGTCATCGGCATTTTTCCATTACCAACCGGTTCTGAACGGTCTTATTTACTTACCCGATCGTCGTCGTTCCCCCGGCGGCGATCGGCGGTGCTCCCGGTGTGGGGAGACCTCCTGCAGCCCAGACAGTCTCTCCATGGCGGATTAGGACCCCTGGGGCCATGTGATCGCTCAACAGAGCGATCACATGGTCACAATAGGTGTCAAAGTGTCTGCCTGCAGGGGGACTGTCTGTGCTGGCAGTCAGTCTCCCTGCATCTGTAAAATTAAAGTTAATGTTAAATTTAAAAAAATTATATGTGTATATAAATGATATATAGACATTTATTATATCTATATGTCTATTTCATATGATGTCATACTAAGTGTATTTTTATATTAATATGTAAATATATTAATATAAAAATACTTATAATTAAATTACACGTGTGTGTGTGTGTGTGTGTGTGTGTATGTATGTATATATATATATATATATATATATGTGTGTGTGTGTGTGTGTGTGTGTGTGTATATATATATATATATATAATATTATTATAAAATACAAATAAGTGATTTAAATTAAAAAATCTAAAGATTTTAAATAAATTATATTTCTATATGAAATTTTATTCTAACTGTATTTTAAAATTAATATATATATATAATATCAAAATACACTTAGAATGAAATTGTATATATAAATAAAATAATATGAAATATACAAAATTACATAAATAATTATATAAATATACACGTAGACTTCAAATATATAATATGCTTATATATTTCAATTCTACGTGCATATTTTTGTAATATTTTTACATAATTAAGAAATTTTATTGATTGCAATTTGAGGGACCTGCCTGGCAACCCAGGCAAAAAGTCCAGAGAATTTAATTTGCTAGCACTGTATTTTACCTTGTAACATTCTACGACACCTTAAAAATTGTAAATTTGGGTACTGTTTTACTCTGGAGACTTCGCTGAACACAAATATTAGTGATTCAAAACAGTAAAACATTTATTTATTTATATATTTTATTGAATTCCTTTTTAATTGGATCTAAGTTTACACAAACTGAGCTATATTCAATAACCTTCATGAAAAAGCCAACATAGTGTATTTTTTTAATTTAAATTTTATTTATAACACACATATTCGTTCCAACTATGCTAAAAATGTTGGCATTAGCAGCTGGTCTGACTGCCAACCTCTAAGGCAAGATCAGATTCACCCAACCTCCTTATAACCATTCTAAAGAAACATTCTTATAACCCATCTAAAGGAAGATTGAACCCCATGGTTTCATTTTAAAATCTAATTGAAGGTAACCATACTAAACCTCCCTATTAATATGCTTCAAGCATATCCTCTAAATCAGTGGCTCCCAAACAAAACCCCATGACTCAGTAACAGTCTGCTCGTCTGCATCCCCATTGAAATAAATCCTGGACTGCCGGTGGGCCACAAGGACCGTCCAGGAACCACTGCTGACTAGATAAGCTCAACTTCTTAAGTACCCGAAAACTTTGAAATATCAAACAATGAAAATAATTTAACTCTATATGGATCTGCTTGACTTCTCTGTTTTTTTAACTTTAAATATATATTAATATGGCAGAACTTTTTAGAATTTTTTTTTTTAAACTTTTTCTTTAAAATGTAATTTTACTTATTTTAACCATTTTTTGCTAAAACTTACTAAACCTTTCTACTTCCGCAAATTTCTATTCATACTTATTGCCTGAAGTACCTGCTCTGCCTTGCACCTACATTTTTTTGGGACTTGCATATCATCCAGATGACAATCATTCCTGTCATCCCATTTTTCTTCTATTCTCCAAAGGATTTCTTCAGCCAAGCCCCTCAACTCTACCCTGACCTATAACAGGTCCAAGGGGAGAAGGGCATGCTTCTTTACACCTGTTCTTGTTTACTGGTCCTGTTCCTTTAAATTCTGCAGCTTTTGTCTGCATAGCTGTGTATTTTTTCTTCTTTGCATGAGGGCACTTCTTTACCTCCGAAGCCGTTAATCGACCAGCCAGAAACTCCAGTCGTCTGGAACACTCCTCAGGGGAAGATACTGCTACTGGAGTCTCTGTCATGTTTGAAGTCTCTGGCAGCGAATTTAACCCCCTTAAGGACACATGACATGTGTGACATGTCATGATTCCATTTTATTCCAAAAGTTTGGTCCTTAAGGGATTAAACAGGCTCTCCACCAGTGATTCAAGTCTTTAAACGGACACTCCACTGCTGTCTGCTCTTCACACACAAAGCTTTTCAGCAATCTAAAGTTGCTTAGGGGTGTGGAGTGACACTTTAACATTAATTCTACTTAAAAGCCATGAAGTTTCAGAGAGTCTGTCCGCACTGTTCCTGGTTCAGTCCACTTTGACAGGATTAAACTTGTGCTGCTTCCTTTTATACTGTCCCAGTTTCTGCTTGCAACTTTCAACAAATCCCATGCCAGCTCCAGCCCCCAGAAACGGCTGTTTCATCAATTCTGCCCAGATACCTGTTTAACTGACCAACTACCACAAGATGTACAATTCCTCACATTCAAATCCTAGACACAACAGATTAACTCCTTCATTGCCACCATCCATATATGGCACAGTGCTTAGTGACTGTGACTTTTTGTTTCTGAATATGTGACTTTGGAGACAAATATGTGAACCTGACTGCAAGCAGGACGACCTCAACTGTGGCATGGCAGTTTATTCATCACTTCCACTGATCTTACATGATGTGTAAAACTGTGGCTGAGGCACTTTATTGGTGAATTTCTTCGAGGAGTTGGTCTGCACCAAGACCAGCCTTGGCAAGTGTTTACATTTTTGGGAATTTTAAAGGCAAGGTGTACAATGCAGGAAGTTTGCCTTTGTAGCCGGTGATGATATTATAATTATTATATTTTATATAGGGTTTACATTTTCTACAGCTGTTTGCAATTGTAGAAAGGAAAGAGATGACCATGTTCAAATAAACACACAATCTATGACAATTTGATATGGGCAGGTGTGTGTGTGTGTGTGTGTGTATATATGTGTGTGTGTGTGTGTGTGTGTGTGTGTATATATATATATATATATATGTATATGTATATGTATATATGTATATATGTATATATGTATATGTGTGTGTATATATATATATATATATATATATATATATATATACACACACACGTAAGCCTATCAATGACTGCCAATTGGCGAGTAATAGAATGTCTTAATTGTATGCACTATGTTTGTTTTAGGTAATGTTTCGCGTCGTAGGATGGCTTCTGCAGAAGAGGTCCGGCTTCCCCTCCTGCATGGGTAAGTCATCTCATTAACCTGTTTTGTGACTTTGTGCTCCTTATATTGAGTAACTTGCTAGTTTGAAAACACTTGTTTACAACTAAAAAAATAAATAAATTATCCCTAAATTGTTACAGCCAACATTACTGTATTTTACTTTTGTATTTCTTACTGAAGTACTCTAATTTAATTAAACCTAGTGTACAATAAAGTAAGTTTAAACATTAGGTCTCTCTTTGCAGGAAGTGTTTAGGCTGTGCAAGTCACATGCAGGGAGTTGTGGCTAGGGATGTATAAACAAAATGATTTAACTTGCAAATGACAGAGAATTGAGTAGCGAATCTGCAAGGACATGATCTACACACCAAAGCCACTTCATTAATCTTAAGTTAACTTGGTGCCTATACCGGTGTGCTATGCCGTCCTTGGGGACCCAGCTCTAAATGCCTGCGGGCGGCATAGCACGTCCACACTGTCCTGGCCACTTACCTGCTCGCCAGCAACCCTACGCCGGTGATCGCAATGGGGAGACTTACCTGGCATCCGAGGAATGATCAGTAGTCCCCCTGCTGCCTGTAAAAAGTTAAAGAAAAGTTTAAAAAAATGTATACTTAGATGCCTTTGAGACCGTATGGTAGCCCAGGAATGAGAATTACCCAGATGATGACATACTATTTGCAAAAGTAGACAACCCAAGGTATTGTGAATGGGATATGTCCAGTCTTTTTTGTAGCCACTTAATCACAAACACTGGCCAAAATTGGCGTTCAAATTAGTTTTTTGCATTTTTCACGCACAAACAAATATTAACGCTAACTTTGGCAGTGTTTGTGACTAAGTGGCTACTGAAAAAGAATGGACATACCCCATTTGCAATACCTTGTGTTGTCTACTATTGCAAATGGTATGCCATCATGAGGATAATTCTCATTCCTGGCCTACCATACAGTCTCAAAGGCAACGTAACCAATCTGGCAAATTTCAATGTGAAAAAACTGAAAAATTTAAAATGATATATTTGACCTTGTAACGTCCCAAAACACCATATAACCTGTACATAGGGGGTACTGTTTTACACGTGAGACATCACTGAATATATATGTGTATTTTATTGCAGTAAAAGCAAAACAGTATTATAACATTCACAGTTAAAATGTCATGCAGAACTAAAAAAAATAACACTTTTTATTAATATTTTATTCATATTAAATTATTTTTCATACCTAAATATTTAAAGGTTAAATGAAAGCCCTATTTCTCCCAAATAAAATGATATATAATAAATGTGGGTGCACTTAAAATGTTAGCAGTGAATTAGGGTTTAACAGACCTATTGTCAAATTCCAAGTTTTGTTTAGGTTTTATTTTGATAAAAACGTGTACATTTGGCTCAGTCCTTAAGGTGTTAAATAGCACAGTAATGTTGAATTCCTGAACTGCTCATGCAAGGTACCATTCAGTTACCAGTTGAAAATGATCATGTTAACTCCAAGTAAATATACAAAACTGATATTTGGAGTGAAAAGTGTGCATACTTTTCTTAATACAGTTGGAAGAGAGAAGTTCGTATAAAGAAAGGCAGCCATCGTTGGCAAGGAGAGACTTGGTACTATGCTCCTTGTGGGAAGCGGATGAAGCAGTTCCCCGAAGTTATTAAGGTAATGTAACCTTCATGCTTGAACTATGGTAGATGTCCATTACAAATGTTGAATAGTATCTAATCTAAGGTGCATCCTCACTTGGTCTTCATTTCACTTGGTCATACAAAAAAGGGTATTTTTGTTTAGGGTTTATTTTTTAATATCTGTTTATACCTACAGCAGGGATTTTCCTTGCATAATCCATCTCGGACAAGCAGCAGTCCAAAACGTTTTAAAAATAAGATTAGTACCTCCATAAACTCCTTTACAACCCAGACCAAAGCATAGAACCCCAGTTTCCTGCTTGTCCCTCCAGGGAACATGTCTTTGGTGGCATTTGTCTCTTTTGCCATGTTTCTTACCTGCACTAGATGAGGCTGCAGTACAGGTGAGATGCTTGCTGGAGAGCCATCTCGGTTCTGGTCTAGTCGATGCTGCATAACCTCTTTGAGAAGCACCCCAGAAGTAAAGTAAATGCATGCATTTCATAGATCCCATTCTCACCCTGCCCCTTCTTCCAGAAACTTTTTACGAGAATTAGCCAGCTAAAGGCTTTGGGGCTATTCTACGTTCTGACGTGTGTTCCATAGCCTATAAACGTGCATGTACAAATGGATCAGGGGTGTTCTTGCCGCCAAAACTTACATTTAAAGTATTGGAGAGCATCTAGTCCAGCAGGTGTGGTTCTACTTGCAGCAGTGCCATTACCTTTTCGCCCAGTGCACTGGAGAAGTGTCTTTAAGACCAATGTTAATTTTCTTTCTTTATTTTTTTTTTTTTTTTAAAAGCTTTTTTGGGGGATTCTCAGGCAAAGTTGTTTTGTTCACAGGATGTGTGGAATGGGTAAATCAGTATAATATTCATCTTGAATAATAAGGTAAACAATTGGGTAATATACAAAATAATTTAAGAAAAAAAATATATATATATTGCAACTTCTTAGACACTTCTATTTTTATTATCTAGTATCTCTCTAAGAACTCTGGTCCCATTATCCGAAGAGAACATTTCAGTTTCAGTCCCAGAATGCCTGTTGGAGACTTCTATGAGGAACGGGACACAGCAGAAGTAAGTTTCTTCGTAATTTTAATGAAAAGAATACTGTTATGTTTGTATGTATTACCCGTTTATCTGCTCTTCTCCTTTTTAGCACAGCCATTGATTATTTATGATAAATTCTCAATACCTAAATTGGTTAATAATTCCAAAATGGTGTTTGATCTTGTGGGAATAGGAGTGATCTCTCTTATTTTTAAGTGGTCAGTTACTCTTTATGTAGTCACTCTGTTGGGTGGACAACTGCATTATATGTAATATTAAAAGTATTGATTTTTATATTTATCTTTTAGTCAAAAAAAACAAAACCTGCTAACAGTGTATTATATCCTCCTTACCGTTTCTTCAGATACTGAGTAGAAGGGCTCTCTAAATTTTTAGAATTTTAACTTTGGGGGTTTTGTATCTCCTTAGAATATGAAAATGATGTATGTTCCTTGAATGAACGTTCAATGAAGTTATTGGGCTTGAGGTCCCCAGGCACTGTCTTAACTTATAGTGTGAAACCCTGTAACATAAGACTGGGGACTCCAGCCTCCATAATAATTTAATTAAAATTAAGTTGTTATGGATGAGGTGTGACCCCTCTAAAGAGGAACACAAGTGTTTCTATTTTTTATATTTTTATAGTGCATTCATCCTATTAAACTTTTTTTTTTTTTTGTCAAGTAGCAAGTAGACCTTTATGTAGAATTTTATATTGAACTGCATTGTAGGTACTGTCATGAGAAATGTCCATTGCATTGGATTAACTCTCCTGGTGGATCTTTTACAGAAGCCATGTATGATAATTGTACGTTTGGAGTTTTAATTTTACTTTTTTTTTTTTTTAAATTATTATTTTTTTTTTGTCCAGGAAAAAATAAACTACATTTATTGGAATAGTATATCGCTTCGGTTGTGTAGATCTTTCAGAAGTCAACAAAATGTACTACTTTTATTGTTAATTATTCTTCTATATCTATTTATCTCAGATTTCCTCTTTTCTGTTCTTCATTGTTCTAGGGCAAACAGTGGGTAATGCTTTGTTCTGAAGAAATTCCCTCCAGGATTTTGGCCATCACAGGAAAAAGGGGACGTCCTCGCAATATGGAAAAAGCTAAACTAAGAGAAAATAAGGTGAAAAGAGGAAGAGGACGGCCTCCCAAAGTAAAGATGATTGATTTGCTAAGCAAGCCTGATGCTAAACTCCTACGGAAGTTGGAAAATCAAGGTATGGACTACAACACTCTTTTTGTGAACACTACACTTGTTTGTTTTTACATTTTGTGATGATTTACTTATTCCCCCCAAATTAAAGCCAGAACCAAAGGGGGGCTGTCCATTGATTTTTTTTTTTTTAAAGTTATATTTACCTTTTCCATATATTGAAGGGGGGAAAAAAAATGAGCTGTTAAAAAAACAAATGTCAAAAGCGACACCTCTTTATCCCACAGCTGTGAGTCCTCCATCTTATCTCCCTGTCAAACATTGTTATAAGCTTTGTCCTTTGCACCTGACAGTCTGCATAGAGAAAGCATTCAGAGAAGAGGAGAAATGGAACAATGTTCCATCTATAATTGTGCCCTACCCTTGCCATGTCTGAACTGGGATAGTATATATTTTTCTAAACCTTAAAGGGACACTATAGTCACCAGAACAACTATAGCTTAATCTCAGTCAGTCGCTGCAGGCTTTTTGCAGTAAACACTGTCTTTTCAGAGAAATGGCAGTCTTTACATTACAGCCTAGGAACACCCCCAGTGGTTACTTCTCAGATGGCTATTAGAGGTACTTCCTGGGGCAGTGCTGCACAGTGTGCAGTATTGACATTCAGTGTCTCCACCCTCTGCATGGAGAAACTGAACGTTCCTTATAGAAATGCATTGATTCAATGCATCTCTATGAAGAGATACTGGTTGGCCAAGGTGGCGTTTGTCTCCGCCCCCCCGCCCACCCCTCTTGACGGAGATCGTCAGAATTAATTATTCTCATCGGAAAGTACTGTGATTGGCATTGTCCTAATGTCAGCCAAGGAGGCAGAACCAGCACCAGCAGACTGAAATAGAGTTAAGATTTTGCTATATTTATGGAGGCAAGGTGGGGTTTAGATAGTGATGAACCTTTATAGTATTCCTTTTTAATATAAATTATGAAGAGAACAGAATATTTCATTAAAAAGTGGTTAATACAAGTTGTAAATGAATTTCAATGTTTAATCCAATGGTGTACATTTTAGAAGAGTCACAGTTCCCCTTGGACAAGACCGTGCTTCCTTATTTGGGTTTCTAACTATGGAAAATAATTTTACAAGGACCAGTTTGCTTTCTCTTTGTTTTTATGTACCCTCCCCTCCAACCCTCCTTTTTTCATTTTCTATCTGATTCTTGAAATATTTCTGGTGGCATACCCAAAGAAAGACCTACCAGTAACCTACCAGAGTATGGTTCTCGCAACCTACACAGGCTGCAATTCTTCCACCTACATCTTTGTTTTTCACTGCTCCCTTTTTCCTGAGTTCTTACAAAATATTATTCCTTCATCTACCTCTGTTTACTACCACCAGCAGTGCAATACTCCGTGTTGTTTGCGCTTTATACACATATGGCTGTAATATTGGTCTTTCATAAATGTATTTTTTCATGTTTAATTAGAAGTTGTAACTTGTCTCTTCGCAATTACGCAGATATTCTCAGTGACGTAGAAAAAGTTCAGCTCAGCAAGTTAAAGAAGAAAATGAGACGAAAGGTCTGTTTTTTTTTTTTGTTTTTGTTTTTTTTTTAATTAAACGCTATGCATGAAAATAATTTTCCTAGCTTGTGTTATAAACTCATGGGGAGACGCAATAATATTTTTTTTACTGATTTAGCATTTTGTTTCCCTTTAAGGCCAGAAATCAAGAAGCTAAGCTTGAGGCTGCAAAGAGATTGAAAGTAAGCACTTGCTATAACTTTTCTACAATGAAATGTATTCATTGACGTGAGCAGGTTAGGCTCCTAGATGCTGCAGTCAGATATACACACTCCTGCTTTGGAGACCAGCTTGCCCATTCATAATACATATAATCTAGTAATGCACAACAATGCTTCTTTGGCACTCTTAAGTTCAAAGCACCAAGATTATGCTTGATATAGTGCCTGCATGTTCTATTATGTGGGCAAACACATACACTTGAACCCCTTAATGACCTAACTTCTGGAATAAAAGGGAATCATGACATGTCACACATGTCGTGTGTCCTTAAAGGACCACTATGGACACCCAGACCACTTCAGCTTAATGAAGTGGTCCGTGTGCCTGGTCCAGCTAGGATTAACCCTTTTTTTATAAACATAGCAGTTTCAGAGCAACTGCTATGTTTACACTGAGGGTTAATCCAGCCTCTAAAGCCTCTAGTGGCTGTCTCATTGACAGCCGCTAGAGGCGCTTGCGTGCTTCTCACTGTGAAAATCACAGTGAGAAGACGCGAGCGTCCATAGGAAAGCATTGTAAATGCTTTCCTATGAACTGGCTGAATGCGCATTTAGCCGATGACGTCGCTAGGAAGAAGGAGAGGAGGAGGAAAGCTCCCCGTCCGGCACTGGAGAAAGGTAAGATTTTAACCCCTTCCTCTCCCCAGAGCCTGGCGGGAGGGGGACCCTGAGTGTTTTCCTGGCACTATAGTGGTCCTTTAAGGGGTTAAAGTGATCTGACTTCATTTGGGGCATAACACAGCATGGTTGGTTTTCTCTGAGCATGCTTCATTTCAGTAGTGTTATTGTAGGTTATTTGGAGGTTAGTCAATGTTTTGAGCTATGGTTTTTGAACTGTAGCTTTTTGAAATATATTTTCTATTTAGTAAGTTATAATTGATCTGTAGTCCTATCTGAGCCATGCTAAACCATTTATTTAACACCTACTTAGCATCTTGGCACCTACTATCCCTTTGGCCACAATTAAATGTGGATGTCATACTATGTGTTAGGTCATGGCTAAATGATTGATGGTAAATGGTGATTTGATGCTTTAATTACACATTCTATTTTTATTTATTTTGAATGGAAAGGAACAGAGAGACAAAGAAGAAAAGGAAAAACAGCAAAAAGCTAAGGAGGAGGCACAAGAGCAAGTAAAAAAGAAAGTGAGGAGAAAAACTAAAGAAAAACCACCTCCTCCTATACATAAACCCGATAGAAAACAGCTTGCTCAACAGCGCCGGCAGGAGCAACGCAAGCGGCAGCAGTTTATGCTGGAAGAACTGAAGAAACCCACAGAAGACATGTGCTTGTCTGATCATCAGGTGAGAATGTGGGCGGGGATATTTGCTTCATTGTGGGACAAAATGGAATGCTGACTGGTTGTGTAGAAGGCTATTTGTCTGCAGCTAGGATTACTGAGCCAATTACTGTTCTTGTAGGAAAGTGTATGAACAAATTACAAAGAGATCATGAGAAACTTTAACCTGTGCCAGTGTCTGACTTGGTATCAGATAGTAACAATGAAAACTGCTCTGTAGCCAGAAATTTTGGGGGGGGAATTCATAAAGGTAGAATTGTTCTAAAATGCTCATAAACACTACGTTGTAATTTCATTGCAGTCAAGAGATATCATAAGACGCAGTAGGGACTACTTTTGTCTTATGGTAAATCTCTACCTTGACAAAAGGGGACCAAATTCCTACTGAAAGGGGCTCATGATTCACCTGTGGGCCAACATAAATCTGGTTCTGAGCAAGACAGATTGCGTTGAGCTATGACAGGCAGCTAGCTGGGATAAGAAAAGAGTTCACATGGACAGATCTAATTTAACACTTAAAGGATCACTATAGTGTCAGGAAAACCAAGCTGTTTTCCTGACACTATAGTGCCCTTAGGGTGCCCCCACCCTCAGGGTCCCCCTCCCGCTGTGCTGAAGGGGTTAAAACTCCTTCAGCAGCTTACCGTTTTCCAGCACCAGGCTCCCTCGGCGTTGGTGACCTCTCCTCCCCCGCCGACGTCGGCGGAGCCGCAAGGGCCGCGCGCGCATTCAAGCTGTCAATAGGAAAGCATTTTCCAATGCTTTGCTATGGACGCATCTGCATGATGGAGGCATAATATGCCTCCAGCGTTGCAGATGCGCCTCTAGTGGCTGTCCGGAAGACAGCCGCTAGAGGCTGGCTTAACCCTGCAATGTAAACATAGCAGTTTCTCTGAAACTACTATGCTGGCATCTGCAGGGTTAAAACCTAAGGGACCTGGCACCCAGACCACTTAATTGAGCTGAAGTGGTCTGGGCGACTATAGTGTCCCTTTAATTTTGTTGTCTATCTTGTGTGAAGATAATTTGTTTTAAACATCTTTAAGTTATTCACTTCACACTTATACACTTCCTTGCACACCTTCGTATATACTTATAAATGCCTGTTGGGTATTATCACTTAATATTTAGTAACAAGCATATTTGTCATAAACGCCATGCCTACAAGCTCCATGTTTTCTTTTGCTCCAGCTGAATGACCACAACCACCATCAGGTTTTGTCACTTCCATCTGCCGTAACTAGTGGCATCTGTACGATTTAAGGCATTATTTAGCATATTTCAAAATCTGGTCGTCCACCCTCCCCCAGATAGAGATTTTTTATTTTTTTTTCTTGGTGTATTATTGTGAATTGGGTTGAAAAAATTATTGTTCTTTTCAGCCGTTACCAGATTTTCCACGTGTGCCAGGAGTGGTGCTGCCCAGTCGTGCCTTCTCGGATTGCTTAACCACTGTGGAATTCTTACAAACCTACGCCAAAGTGCTTGGCTTCGATGGAAACAAGGATGTGCCAAGCTTGTGCACCCTGCAAAATGGCCTATTTAATGTGGGTGACAGTGTAGGAGAGGTTCAAGATCTGTTGGTTAAACTCTTGCAAACGGCAATGATCGATCCTGGGCTACCTCATTATTGGCAGGTATGTTATCAAGTTGTTGTTTTTGCCGAAGAGTGATATTTTCAGGATTGTTCATTTAACTTGGAATAGCTGGAAATTTACCAAATAATTTCACATTTTAGTTCAACTTCTCCGTGTTAAATCATTCCAGATGTTGTAAATAAACCTTGCTTAAGCAAGCTTGTGGGTCTAGTTCTTTAAAATTTTATTTATTTATTTTTTGAGTTGATGTCTTTTGTATGGTCCTATAAAATATGGAATCTAACTTTTTTTTATTTTTATTTTTATTCAGTCTATCAAGATTTTAGGTGAGAGGATTTCTGAGATATCTCTAAACCGAGACAATGTGTCAGAGATTCTGCGGCTATTCTTGGAGGCATATGGTGGGGACTTTGCAGTGTGTGACAGTCTTCGCACTCATCCATTCCAGGCACTCCCGCCTCACACCAAAGCTGTAGTGCTTGCCTTTCTTGTGAATGAACTGAATGGCAGTAACTGTATTATTACGTAAGTTTGTGACCAATGACAGCATGCAAGTCATGATGCAAAGAGATTAAGGAAAGCTTAAAAATCCACTGTTTGTGTGTGTTTGTGTTTTTACTCAAAAGCAACATTGTTTCTCCCACAACGCCACTTTTTTAAAGGCATAATTAAAGTGCAAAAAGACACAATACAAGCTCTCAAATCTATTTTATTTGTCCATCAACTATAGTCTGTTAAAAGTTTATCTGTGGTCTGAAAATGTTTCCTAATGGATGAAAGTTCTGCAGTGTTGCAATAATAATGAGTGTGTTAAGATGTTTCTTCGTATCCCCATGGATTCCTCTGATTGCCTACCTTGTTTTATGCAGTGACATTGACAAAACACTGGAGAACATTTCTAATTACCGAAAAAACAAGTGGATTATTGAAGGCAAACTCCGCAGGTAAGTTCTTTCTCTTTACTGGTAAAATCAGATTATTGCTGTTAGAATTTCAACAAATGCAGTTCTTCAGTACTGATCTTGCCATCATCTCAGCAGGAAAAAAAAATGAAATGTTGCCAATGTAGTTGGACTTCTACTACTTTATTTATATTATACAGGGAGTGCAGAATTATTAGGCAAATTAGTATTTTGACTACATCATCCTCTTTATGCATGTTGTCTTACTCCAAGCTGTATAGGCTCGAAAGCCTACTACCAATTAAGCATATTAGGTGATGTGCATCTCTGTAATGAGAAGGGGTGTGGTCTAATGACATCAACACCCTATATCAGGTGTGCATAATTATTAGGCAACTTCCTTTCCTTTGGCAAAATGGGTCAAAAGAAGGACTTGACAGGCTCAGAAAAGTCAAAAATAGTGAGATATCTTGCAGAGGGATGCAGCACTCTTAAAATTGCAAAGCTTCTGAAGCGTGATCATCGAACAATCAAGCGTTTCATTCAAAATAGTCAACAGGGTCGCAAGAAGCGTGTGGAAAAACCAAGGCGCAAAATAACTGCCCATGAACTGAGAAAAGTCAAGCGTGCAGCTGCCACGATGCCACTTGCCACCAGTTTGGCCATATTTCAGAGCTGCAACATCACTGGAGTGCCCAAAAGCACAAGGTGTGCAATACTCAGAGACATGGCCAAGGTAAGAAAAGCTGAAAGACGACCACCACTGAACAAGACACACAAGCTGAAACGTCAAGACTGGGCCAAGAAATATCTCAAGACTGATTTTTCTAAGGTTTTATGGACTGATGAAATGAGAGTGAGTCTTGATGGGCCAGATGGATGGGCCCGTGGCTGGATTGGTAAAGGGCAGAGAGCTCCAGTCCGACTCAGACACCAGCAAGGTGGAGGTGGAGTACTGGTTTGGGCTGGTATCATCAAAGATGAGCTTGTGGGGCCTTTTCGGGTTGAGGATGGAGTCAAGCTCAACTCCCAGTCCTACTGCCAGTTCCTGGAAGACACCTTCTTCAAGCAGTGGTACAGGAAGAAGTCTGCATCCTTCAAGAAAAACATGATTTTCATGCAGGACAATGCTCCATCACACGCGTCCAAGTACTCCACAGCGTGGCTGGCAAGAAAGGGTATAAAAGAAGAAAATCTAATGACATGGCCTCCTTGTTCACCTGATCTGAACCCCATTGAGAACCTGTGGTCCATCATCAAATGTGAGATTTACAAGGAGGGAAAACAGTACACCTCTCTGAACAGTGTCTGGGAGGCTGTGGTTGCTGCTGCACGCAATGTTGATGGTGAACAGATCAAAACACTGACAGAATCCATGGATGGCAGGCTTTTGAGTGTCCTTGCAAAGAAAGGTGGCTATATTGGTCACTGATTTGTTTTTGTTTTGTTTTTGAATGTCAGAAATGTATATTTGTGAATGTTGAGATGTTATATTGGTTTCACTGGTAATAATAAATAATTGAAATGGGTATATATTTGTTTTTTGTTAAGTTGCCTAATAATTATGCACAGTAATAGTCACCTGCACACACAGATATCCCCCTAACATAGCTAAAACTAAAAACAAACTAAAAACTACTTCCAAAAATATTCAGCTTTGATATTAATGAGTTTTTTGGGTTCATTGAGAACATGGTTGTTGTTCAATAATAAAATTAATCCTCAAAAATACAACTTGCCTAATAATTCTGCACTCCCTGTATATTGTAATATTTTCATAGAATAATTATGGAATTAAGTCACCATGTGGTAGCTTACAACAAAGTTTGCGGGAAAAACAAACTCAAACTTAAGAAAAAAAACTTGCCTGCCCTAAAGCAGTATATATGAGTGATAAATGGCATCAAGGAGTGAGAGGGGAAGTAAGATGATGCAACACTGGCTTACAAAAAGACTTTCTGACTCTTTAGAAGATCTGGAGCTTATGGTGCAAAAATAACAAAACTTTATTTTGTTTATTATTTGTAACGTCAGGCAGGCTTTAATAAGGGGGTGATTGGGACCGCAGTAGACCAGGTAATTTTCCATGAAATAAAGATTTAATTCATGGTTGTATAGGTAATCGTTAACACAATTCCTCTTCCTTTATGGCAAAATAACTAAAAGTAAAAATGTCTGGTTTATCATGTAGTGAAACTTTTAATTCTGGCCTATTACTAGAATACTGTTCTTTTGAACACAATGTTTGTTATAATTACAGATTGAAGTTTGCACTGGGTAAGCGAGCATCCAGACCTGCGCCTCCGGTTACCACGGTAGTAGAAAGTCGCAGGAGGAGCAGCACTCGAGTAGCTACTGAGAATGATGCTTTAGAGGAGGATGATCTCTTGCAGCAATCCTATATGGGTGAAGAAAGTGAAGAGGTAATTTAAGACTTGGTTTTTAATGAGCAGTCTCTTTTTTTTTTTTTTTTATTGGTTTTTATATAACATAGTAGATGTATTGATTATTTTATGCTCTTTGTTTTGCAGAAAGAATCATTAACTGCGAACCTTGTGGATCTGGAAAGACAGATCGATAAGCTCACAAAGGTACCATTTTTGTTTTTAATGGGGAACTAATGTTTTACTGTATTGTTTTCTTGAATCTTTTCGAAATTAAAATGAATATGCTTAGCGAAAGTTATTAATTAGGCTTAGGGGGATTCTTAAATTATTGGAAACTTAAGTTGAAGGTTCTTAAGCTTTAGACATAAGAAGTTTGTAACTTTAGCTTATTTCCCCTGTATTCTGAATGCAATTTTCTGTCGCACACTCTCTGATCTTGTTGTTTTCTGCTGCAGCGGCAGGTATTTTTTAGGAAGAAAATACTTGCTTCCTCACAGAGGCTCCGTTGTGTGTCTCTTGGGCAAGACCGGTACCGCAGGTTCTACTGGATGCTGCCTCACTTGGGTGGTATCTTTGTGGAAGGGTGTGAGGAAATTACTGGTAAGTTCTTGGTTAACCACTTATTAAAATTTATATGAAAAAAATATAAAGTTAAAAAGGAAAGCAGGCAGTCATAGTAAAATGTTATAGCAATGTATACTGCTTCTGTGGATTTATTTTCTTTTTTTCTCTCTAATAGTTAGGTGTGTAGTGATTTTTACGGTGAGCTTTTAAGAAGTGCTGTAACAGTAGTTTATACGGATATGTACTCTGCCTTCTAAAATGTATTTGTTCAAAGCATCTGTGCATTTATAACATATTTAGGTAGTTGGCCACTAGCCCTTCAATTTATTTTGATTCCCTCTCCAAAGCTGAATATCCTGTGTAATCACAGAAGGCTTTACAGTTTGCTTGTGTTTTTTTTTATATCTTTAGTGTCAGGTCAAAGTTCATGTAACACTCGTGCACAAGTATATCATCCCAACAACACAATTTTGTCATTATAACAAATACAAATTTAAAAGAAGGAATACAAAGGAAATGTGGAAAGTCAAAAAATCTGTGGGGGAAGGGGAAAGCCACTGCTAGAGTTTTCCCTTATCAATAATAGTCCAAACATTTTTGAGCCAGAGTGCCCAAACTACAATACAACCAAACTTTTTTTTATTTTTTTTTCCCTCCAAGTGCCAACACTGCAATTAAACCTGAATACTAAGGTTTAAGTTTAGAAAAAACAACTCCGTTGTCTGAACTAGCGGTGTAGTGTATACATGGGGTGCAGTGGAAACCTTGTGTGTATGGGGCCAGTGTGTGTATGAGGGTTTAGTGGGGGCAGTGTTTGTATAGGAGTGCAGTGGGAACCACTGTATGTAAGGGGGTGTGGGGGCAGTGTGTGTTATGTTTTTATTTATTTTTTTAGTAAAACAATATGCTTTAACCCAGGAGCTACAGGCTAGAATTCACTCCCCACTAGAACCACCACCGTATCTTCACCGGACCAACAGGGCATCACAATCGATATCCCCCCTCCTTGGGCAAAGGTAAGAAGGGAGGGGGGATATCGATTGTGATGCCCTGCTGGTCCGGTGGAGAATCCATGGCGGTTCTATTGGGAGTGAATTCTAGCCTGCAGCTCCTGGGCTAGAGTTAATTCTTGCGAGAACGGAGCGTTCCTGTGGTAATTGCGGCAGCGCTCCATGCTCAGAAACGAGACCCAGCGGAGCTGCAAGCTAGAGCTCCCTGGTCTCCTCTCCCTCCCCTGCTGGCAATGTGCCTGTGGACAGATAAGGGAGATCTCTGATCTCCGGTCCGCGAAGGCACCCAGCAAGGCCGGCGCTTGGATAGCACCGGCCCTGCAGGAGAGAGCACCGCACCCCCTCCCCTCGCCCCTGGTGACCTATGGCTGCGTGCCCACAGAGGGCTCAGCGTGCCCACAGAGGGTTCAGCGTGCCATAGGTTCACCAATGCTGGTCTAAGGAATTCTTTACATAGTCTACGTATTCTACCTGTACAAGTCCTATCTATGGTATGATGAAAACAAAGTGTTCTTGACAAAAGCAATCAGGTGATCCACTAATTAGTTTATTTTTTTATTTTATTTATTTTTCGGTATAAAATTATAACTTCCTTAACGGATGGGGAAGAAGTCCAACAGCCAGTGTCTGGGTATGGCTCTGTGGGCGGCTAGTGTGATGTAGTGTTTTTGGGAGTGAGTGGGGAGATGCAAGAGAAGAGGCCACACATCAAAATAAAAAAGACCACTGTAAGACTGCAACACTTACAATCTCTGTTCAGAAAATGTAGATTTGAGGGCAGAACCACAACATATGAATATAGGAGTCTGTAATCCCACAATTTCTCCAGCAAAGATGATTATTAGCTGGTTACTTACCTAAATAATTTTATGGGAGTGATGTACTGTCTAAACAGTAATATAATTATTTATTTATGTTTGTTTATATATTTTTATTTTTTTTGTACCATTTTTGCAAGGGGACATAGACTGAAACCCTAAATGTATCCTCCCAGGTTTCTTCCTCTCTAATCTCACCCAGGTCCAACTCTTCTTGAGGCACGTATGTTAAATCACCCGAGGCCTTCAAGCAGCTCTGCCACGTGTCTCCCATTCCAAAAAAATAATTTTGTAAATATGACATCTTTATGAAATACAGTCAAGAGATATAATTTGATAAAGTAAAGACTGCTTTGTCTTCTATACTCTCCCGTCAAATGACAGGTTTAAGGAAAAAGTCATTGTCTGTGGTGGCTCCTGTCGTAATGTGCAAGAGTACAGTACTGACACGGGCTTCTGGCAGATAAAGCACCAGTATCTGAAAACATCCCCTGGATGTGCTTGGCGCAAGCCACAAGTGACCGCTTCAGATAAGAAAAACCCTGCCTTCTTTTGTTATGATTCCACAGAAAAGATAATGTCTGTTTTTGTACTTAACTATTCCCGATTGCCTGTTTCAATGGCACACAAACCTACTGATTGAGATCCAATGTATGTTTTGCATTTATATTTGTCTGACACTCTCAATAACAAATGCATTAAATATATATATATTTTTAAAAATCTCTGCCTTCTCTTGTGGCAATGTCACCAATGGGGACCTTTGCAATTTATGTAAAGACCCCAGAACTTGGAGAGAGAGAGTTTTAACACTTTCTGAACAATAAACGGCTCATTCACATAGTTTCCCTACTTTGAGCTGTTTAAAGTTAGATAAAGCAAAATCCCAAATATTCATGTTAACAAATTAAACTCCAGTAAAGAGTCAGAAGACTTAATGTCTTTGAAGGTGAACGGTTTTTGACAGTTTTAATTTTATTTCATTCATTTATTTTTTACAAACCTCCTTTTATTTTTATTTTTTCATTGTACATTTATGGCTGATCTGCAACTTTTAAAAAAGCTGTACATTGCAATAGCTTCTCAAAGATGTTGCTTTGCTAATGTGGGATGGATAGTTTTAGTGGCCAAATGTTGAACGTTTATTACAATCTGTGTCACTATGGTGCTAATGGTGGTCATACTGTGAGAGCAGGTTCTGTGTTACCCACTCAAGTATTGCAGTAATAGACTTCTTTGAGTGTTTATTTTAAATATTTCTGACATAGTGCGTTGGATCTCCCTACAGAAAAGCTAATGTTAGACAATGTAATTTGTTTATCTTACCTGAGGATATACTTGGTCCTGGAGTATGTTTCTCAGTAAATATTATCCTCCACTCCTCCCCACCAACTGCAGGGGAGATGGACAAACCAGATTTGCTTATTACTCTATGTAGGTGAACTGGTCTCATTTTATCTAACTTGAGGTAATACTGGAGTCTGGATGTTTCTCCATGAATAGCTAAATCTTGTTTAACTATTCTAGTGGTGTAATGGGAGCCAAAACTGACTTAATCCAACAGTAAGAGGTTCATACAGTTTGTGCCTAAAATACTCAGGCTTGTATTCAGTACGAGTTCTGACTTTCTGAATTCCAGCGATTTCACAATGTGGTCAGAGCACATCAAACAATCTGAGATTTCTCTTTGCAGGTAAAACTCTAAATTCCTACCCCTCTGCTCTATGTCTCCGTTGTGAGGATGGTTCTGGTGACATAAATAATAGTTTAAAATTTACCTACACTTCAGTTCTAATAAATGCAATATAATTTTGAAAATTTACCAACATTTTCTTTGTGTGTATGGTTTTATTTTTATTTTCTTTTTTTTTTTTCTTTTTTTTTTTTTTTAGGGGAGGCTCCAGAACCTGAAAGGACTGAAGAGACCCCAGTTCCTATACAGTTTGAAGCTTCAGAAGTGACTGAGGAAAAATCTTTCAACTCTGCTACTCGCTCCCGAGGTCGTCCACGGAAACCCAAGACTGAATCTGAGTATCCATGCAAGTCATGTCAGTGTAGAGGATCGTCAAATGGCATTCTAGAACCAAAATTACCCCTTGCTTTAGTTACTGAGAACAAGCAAAACCAAAACCAGTCAGCGTTTAATTCCTGGCTGGCTAGGAATCAAACCTCTATAATAGATAGCACTGTTCTAACCCCTGAGAGTAGTCCTTCTTATAGTGACACTGCTGCAACTGTCCCCGGTGCACCCCATGCTGGAGATAAGAATGCAACAGTGAAGCAAAATCAGTGGGTTCACCTACCTTCAAGGACTCCTTTCATTGACACTTCCCATGATCCTTCGCCTCAGCCAAATGAACATTTACCCCTACAATACCATGCTGCAATTCCTTCTCTCACACAGGTGAGCAATTTTTTTAAATGTATTTTTTCTGTTGTCTCCCCCATCGCCCTTTATACTATAATTTGCTGTAATTTTTATAAGATGCTGTTATGTTATTGTTTCATTTACAGGCAGTTGCTTTCATGTGGTAATCAACCTTTACCATTGTTTACGATTGTTCTTTAATTTTGATTTTTATAGTTTGTGGGGTTTTATTTGTTTTTATCAGGCTTATGCCATGCTGAATAGTAGCCTTTTCTCTTTTTACAGGTAAATGGCTTAAAAGAGGAGAAGGAAGAACCTTTAGACAGCACATTGTTGCTTCCAACTCCTATCCCCTGCTGTACATGTAGTAATCTTCAAAGAAATGAGAAAGCATTAATCTCCAGTCGAGAGAGGCGCAGGGGACGCCCACCCAGCAATTTCTTCAAACAGATCGAGCAGAAATACCACAACCAACTCATAGAGAGGCCTATTCCGTCTGGTGTGTTTTGGAATCAAAATGGTCTTTAATCTGTTTGGTGAATCGAATATGTAAAGCTGTTGGTACTACATCTATTTTTATAGTTTAGTTTATTGCTTAAACATATAAAATAAATATATATTTAACTATATCATAACCTAGCAAGTTGGAGTTCCTTCAGTTGAAAGAGTGAGGAATCTGCTTCTCCACACACCCACATTTAGCATAAAGTGACTGAAATGATGTGTTAACGATGTGTGACAGAGTAGTTCCTATTGGTATAACTGCTGAAGAATCCATATTATCCTAACAGTTTTTATATCTATAGGCATTATCTAGTTTTTTTTTTTTATTTACTTTTAGATACTACACGAACATCTATTTGCTAAGCATGTGTTGTATTTTTGTTGTATGCAGACATGAGACAAATGTGGTGGTGGATAAAGGACCCAGTGATGCTGGAATCTCTTGTAAAAGCTCTGCACCCAAGGGGCATACGAGAAAAAGTTTTGCTGAAACATATCACAAAACATTTAGAGCACCTCAAAGAACTCTGCGCTCGGCCAGCAATTGGTGAGATAAGTTTTGCAATATGCTTAATCAATATTCTTTTGATTATCATGAGCAATGTCCTAATCATTATTCTACTATATCTAGATTCCCTCTTTAGCTTCGTGCCAACAGAGGGACATCCTGTGAGCCAGGAGACACTAGACAAGTGGTCAATGGCAGATTGGACTTTCCAAGTGGACCTGTCAATCCTGCAGTGGGTGGAGGATTTGGAACAAAGAGTTTTGAGCTTCGATCTTCAGCTAAGGGTTAGTCCAACTTCAGTTTTGTGATTTCATTGCAGTAAAAATAAAGACAATTTTATAGGATCTGAGAATACACAAGTTAGAAAAACTTGCTGAATCCTATGTAAACTCCAGGCGTATTGGAGTGCACTCCTTAATATTTTATGAAAGCTGATGCATAAAGATAATGGGATATTTTTTCCTTTTTTTTTTGCTCTGTAGAACTATACTAGAATATAGAAATACAGAAGGCCTTAGTAAAGCTATGTCAAAAGTGTAACAAGCCACAATGAGGTAGTTACTTTATTGGCTAATGTGTCTGAAGAAATGTATACTTGACAATGCCCTTAATTTTCTTTTATGACTGTTCTCCGTCACAGGGCTGGACACCTACAAGTTTAGACTCTGTTCGAAGTGATCTCAAGTATTTTGAGCACCACCTAGAGGCAACTGATGATATTACGGTGAAAGTAAAAAAAGAGGAAGGACTATATAGAGAGCCGTCTAACCCACTGGATCTTGCAGTACTCAGACTTTTGGACCTTGAGCAAAATGTAGAGAGAAGATACCTGAAGGAACCACTGTGGGTGCTGAGCGAAGTGCAGCATGAAATGTTGGTGTTCACTGACCCAGAGAATCCACTCTCCACCACTGAGATGTAAGGGCTTGTTGTGTACTGATCAATCACCAATTTGTGGCTCACTTATTTTCCGTCTTCAGAAAACCGTTTATTATATATTCCTTTCCCCCTTGGTTTTTCACAGTCAATACAGCATTACATCTCGCTTAAGGTTGTGGCGCCAGACGCTTGACAGATGTCGAAGTGCTGCCCAGGTGTCCCTCTGTCTACAACAACTGGAGAAATCTTTAGCCTGGGAGAGGTCGGTTATTAAAGTGGTAAGTGACAGTGCTTCTAATGACTGTAAGATAACCCAATGCTTTTTCCAAGCACTGTTAGTGTGTGTATCTGTTTGTATTTTTTCTCCTTTCTTTTTTTCCTTCTCCATCTACAAGTTCAATATGTGTAATGACTTGTATTCATAAAATGATGAATGACTTTACAATCCTGTTTTGTTTGTTACAGATTTGCTTAGTTTGTCGGAAAGGTGACAATGATGAGTGTCTGTTGTTGTGTGATAGTTGCGATCGTGGCTGTCATACATATTGTCACCGTCCACGGATGGCAGAGATTCCAGAAGGCGATTGGTTCTGTCCTACCTGCATAGCATTGGTAAGCACAAATGCAGTTGCATTCAATTCATGTAAGCACAGTATAATTCTTTCTTTTTTTTTCTTTTTTATATTAAATTGTTTTCTTTATATAACATGTACAAATTACATACAATTCAGTTCATTTAAATTAGATTATGTCTAAAAGTTAAACATCTATCAGACATATAAATACAAACATTTGTCAAACAACATATCGCATTGAGTGTGTCTCACAGGGGATCGGCGGGTTCAAATTGCTATTATCCTTTACTCTATCTAAATGATATCAATTTCTTGTGATATTCAGTGATATTAATTTCTTAATCAGATCTTTCTTCTCTACATTGTGTTGTTCATTAATTGCCAGCTCCATTCGTAGTTGAAAAAATAATTGATTTATTATATTTTTTCCATACTGGGATGTTTTTTTGGTTTTCCAGTTTCTGGCTATTAGAATTTTAAAAGCTACAAAACAATGTATAATGAAATTTATTTACATCTTTTTTAACTTAGGCCATCTCAAATGTAATAAAGCTACCTCTGGCACAATCCTAAGTTTATATACAAGAAAAAAAAAAATCTTTTCCCATTGCATCTTTATTTCAGTACAGCTTCACCAGATATGTATGTATGTATGTATGTATGAACCTCTGCTCTTTTCACACCCGCAACAGAAATCACTTGACAAAGTAAACATTCTAGCTATCCTTGAAGGTACAAGATACTAGGGATTAACCGATTATCGGTCTGGTCGATATTCGGTATTTTCGGCAATATCGGTATTGGCCAATAGAGATCCCGATAATACATACCAGGCCTGCTGGGCCCATTACAATTCCGGCGGTCCTGAGGGGGCCCGCAGCAAGCGCTTACTTACCTTCCTAGCAGCTCCCTTTAGCTCCCCTGTGTAAATCTTGCAAGTCCCTTGCGGGTTACCATGGCAATGCTCCGCGCGGCATGCTGGCCGCGAGATTTACACAGGGGAGCTGAAGGGAGCTGCTGAGAAGTTATGGAACTTATGGAGAGCAAAACACAGGTCGCAAGAGTATTCTGAAAAAGGACAACAACTGAAATAGCCTGCCCTTCGGTGGGTCCCCGCTCAGAACTCAAGCTCCTTTTAGCTCATCTTTTTCAGTTGTTGTCAGTTCTCAGAATACTCTTGCGCCCCGGTTTTTTGCTCTCCATAAGTTTAAAGGGTAATCCAGACGTGGACCCCTTGCTCACGGTGCCTAGAGAGATATCAGCTACGCCTCACTGATGATGCCTAACAAGGCTGAAACGATAGTCTAGGGTTGCTGTATCTCTCGTGCTGAGGGAACTTGCTGGCATTTCGGATCTGGACTGCCTGTATGGGTGGGACCAGTCTGATATGCTTCAGATATGTTCTCTCTGTGATGGCACAAGATGAGCTAAAACTAGCTTGAGTTCTGAGCGGGGACCCACCGAAGGGCAGGCTATTTCAGTTGCTGTCCGTTCTCAGAATACTCTTGCGCCCCGTTTTTTGCTCTCCAGGGAGAATAATAGTTGTTTTCTTCCCAAGCAAATAATGGCTTATGATAGGAGGGCAATAGAAGTGTTTCGGACAATAGCAGGGAGATGCTGCATCAATTTGATACTTCTAAAAATTATGATTTCTGTCATTGTATGTATGTGGGTTTTTTTTGGCTTTTTTTATCAGACATTTACAATCTAGTTACAATATTGTTCTTAATGATTCTTACTACACTTTCTTGTCCGTTTTTTGTGTTGGATAACCATATTATTTTAAAGAGACACTTAACATTCTTTAACATTTTGCTTACTTTTAAATGTAATTGTTTAGTGTGAGTCAGATTAATTGGTATTGATTGTGTATCCCCAGTGCAGCATATATGTTTTACATATGCAGTGCCCTGGATATAGGAGAAATAAGGTTTTAGCTTTTAATAATATATGCCATTTGATTTCAACGTGAAGTAATCTGCAATTTCTTTTGCTAATTGGAGCTCTCCGTTACATCTTTTAATATGGACTTTTTTTAATGTTCTGGATTTTCTTTCTGCAGCAAGGTGAAAGCGAGTTTCTAAGATCCTGTGGATCTTCTAAACGCAACAAAAGGAGTAGGTTATCATTCCAAGACAGTGACAGTCCTTCAAAATCATCTCGACGACGGGAACAGACTGCAGTTTCACCATATCAATCTGCTGAAGCATCAAAGCGAAGACGCATCGGTACACGGAGCCAGAGTCCCGACTTAACGTTCTGCGAGTAAGTAACTGGAATTGTCTGTGTTCATTGTCTGATACTAAGTTACTACATTTCAGATGCCTTTTAATGGTTTGGTTACATTCTGTATGAATTCCAGTTTTAATCAATATGAATGGCAGGATATCTCTGATTTTAAAAGTCAAATAAAAGCAACAAAAACAAATAGTGTACTTAATACGTCCGCAGCAAATATGAGCGCTGGAAGCTGCTCTAATGGTATTGCAGTGATGCCTCGATGTCGAGGCATCCTGCAATACCTCTCATGACAGCCGAGCCACTGAACGATCGCTCGGCAGTGTAGCAAAGCATCGGAAGCCATCGGGCATGCTTCTGATGTTCTGCCTGTGTGCTGAGGGGTCGAGGCACTCAGTGAACTCTTAAATTAAATCCCCCCCCCCCAGCCCTGTGGATTCCAATATGGCGCTGCATCATGGGGCTTCTCAGGGTGTCCCTAACCTGCCTCATCATAGAGGCAGGCTAGGGTCATCCAATCCGATATTGCCCCTATAATATGTATTACTACTATGATCCCCATTTGTCTGGTCAGGTCAAAATTAGTAAATCAGTGGATCTCCCTCCCTCTCTTCACTTGTGTTTTAGTGAGAGAGAGATATCTGTGTTTATACAAGTGTCCCTTTGTTCAAGCTACTGTATTGTTTTGATACAGTAGCTTGCGGTACAATCAGAACCACGCAGGTTTCCCAGAACAATTTGAATGCACTGGGGGGGGTGGGGGGGAGAGAGAGACCTCAGCTCTGCGCCAAGAGAAGCTGTTGCCAGTTAAGTACAGAGACAAGAAGGATGTGTACCTTCTTACCACCATCCACACTGAGAGGACTGTGGAGTTCTCTGTATGTGGCAGAGCTGAGAGCACAAGGAAGCCAGTGTGCATCAAGGCCTATAACTGGCATATAGGTGGGGTTGATCTGACAGATCAGCTGCTGGAGCCCTACCTAATTACATTGAAGACAACGGTCTGGTGCAAAAAGCTTGCAATTTACTTAATGCAGATTGCAACCCACAACGCTTTTTTGTTGATCAAAAAAAGCAAACCCTGGAATGAAACTGACTTTTTTTTTTTTACAGTTTCAGCTCCAGATCATTTTGTGGGGGGAGATTGGTTACATTTACTGTTCCTATGTTTTTTGTTGTTTTTTTTTGGGGGGGGTTTGTTTTTTACTTTTACTGTGCCAAACTATTTTTATGATCAGGTTCAACCTATACATGAGTGTACTCAGGCGGCCTTGCAGAAAACAACCTGGAGTGTTTTCTTGCAATAACCAACAACAGGCTCCCCTAAATCACACACCAATGTGTGTGTAAAAATTTAAAAATTCCCACCACACATCTTCATTTTTTTGAGCTAAAACTGTTACATCAAAGGCATCAAAACACTCCATATACAATACCTTGTGTCAATTTTTCAAATATGTGCACTTTTATACCTTAGGACGGTTGTATTCTTTTAAAAAAAATATATACATGTGAAGGGTTATTCAGGGATTCCTGACAGATATCAGTGTTACAATGTAACTTTTGTTAATTTTGAAATAAATTGGTTTGGAAATAGCAAAGTGCTACTTATTGCACTGTAACTTGCAAAAAGAAAGCTAAGAACATGGTAACATTGGTTATTTCTAAACTCAGGACAACATTTAGAAACTAGCATGGGTGTCTTTTGGCGGTTGTAGATGCGTAACAGATTTTGGGGGTCAAAGTTAGAAAAAGTGTTAAATTTTTTTATTGTAAATTATGATATGATGAAAATAATGGTATCTTAGAACATTTAATAGCGAGAAAAAGTGGATATAACATGTGTGGGTAATGTAAATGAGTTAGAGGAAAATTACCGCTAAACACAAACACCGCAGAAATGTAAAAACAGCCCTGGTCCTTAATGGTAAGAAAGTTGAAAAAATGATCTAGTCACTAAGGGGTTAAAGGAAAACTCAACACACACACACAAACTACTTTGTGTATGAAGTATCCCATTTTAATGACCGTTTATAAAAGTGTAAATTTCTTTGAGAAACCGGCACTTTTCTAAATCTAAATCAATCAAGAAATCTAAATCAATCAAGAAACACCTCCGTGGGGGGGCGGGGCCGGACCGCCATGCTAACCGGTCGCATGCAGGAGAGGCTCCAGAGAAATCTGGCCTCTTAAGCAACAAAAAGCAGACTTTGCACAAAAGAAAAAAATACCACAACGATTGACAACATTATGTACCTACTTGCACAATAAAAATAAAGAATTAAAAAAAAAAAAAAAAAACCTCTGTGGTTGGGTCAGTCAGGAAGTAGTTTTTTTTTTTTTTTTTTCTCCTTTTGTTAGCTCCACTGAGCTTTCGAATGTGGCAGACATGCTCTGGCTAAGTGCACCTGCCTTCTTCTGCAGGTGCCAGTGAGCGCACATCCCCACAGGGCTCCATAGTTTTCCTTTACATCTTCACATTTGAGCCAGTTACATGCAAAAATACACTATTCACAAAAAAGTTAAAAGGAAAAACAAACTTTTTTTTTTCCCCCAGTAATATAGATAAATATTTATTATTGTACTTTTTGTAAATCACACAAAAAATGTTTTAGGTGTTACTTGTTAGAGATTTCAACATACTATAACATTTAAGCAGAACTGTTTGCGTGTTTTGTTTTTTTCCTGATATGCCATTTTTATCTTAAATGAATAGTACAAACACCTATAGCTCTTTAGCTTGTTGAGGTGCTTTGTGTGAACAGTGTGTCCTCCTCTCCCCTCCCCAGGAGGCAGGTTATTGCCAAGAGCATCTGCCTTGCTAAGACTTCTCATTGAGCTGCATTGGGAAGTCTGTAATTGGACAGCCACAGATACAATACTGGGCAAGGTTAGAAGGGGGAGGGCTTGCAACAGCTACAGACAAGAAATCTGCAGCTTTTGCAAGCTATTTTAGATATACCCCAAATGAAAATATGCATTGTCACTTTCCCTTAACAATATTTATGGTCTTTTCTTCCTTGTGCTGGATCTTACTTAATACCAGGGTGCCTCCATTTTGTTATGCTCTGTCCATAGTGTTTGCAGTTTGCTCTTCTATGTAATTCTTTTGATGAATTATGAATAAATGAGAAAAAAGGAGTCTCTATAAGTTCCTATTTATATTTAAATAAAAAACAAGGACAAGTTTAAAAATCTAACAACCGAGAAATAGAGGAACAAAAAAAGGGGTAAACCTAAAAGCAAAACCTGCAAAGTGACAAAGCCGCTTTTTTAAACATGCTCCACCTATAATTTTAAACTGCCTACCTCTAAACAAACCTTTTGCAGCATATTCTTGCAAGGGTGAAAGCAGGTGATAAGGCTTCCAATTGCTTTCTGGGGATATACAAATACCTAATGTTTAGGATCTTGGTGTTCCGGTACACTTGCTGGCTACAGTGTACGATTCTTCTGCTCTATGGGTTATGCAGAGTTAACACAATGCAGTTCTTTGAATAACAATCTTTTCTTTGGGTCTCCAGGATCATCCTTATGGAATTGGAGTCCCATGAGGATGCATGGCCATTTCTAGAACCTGTGAACCCACGGATTGTGCCTGGCTATAGGAAAATAATCAAAAACCCCATGGACTTCTCTACAATGAGGCACAAACTGCTGTATGGCAAGTAAGTTTTTTGGGGAAGTGTATGTGTGTGTTTCCATAGTGGTTACAGTTGAAGGACTAATTTATTTTGTGTACATTTTACCATTTGTGATCTGTCATGGTCAATGGCCATTTGAGTTTTAAAGTTAAAATAGTAAACATTGGAATTTTCTTTGGTAGTTTTATTGTAAATTCTTTGTACAATTCAAATAAATGTGAGAGGTCTTAGCTTTTTGTGTGTATGTATACACACCTATACTAGAACTTTGTTTCCATACTTACTGTAATTTTCTTTTTCTAATGTAAGCCATGGCAGCACTGACTTGAGTTAGCTCCTCCCCTTACAGCAAAAAGGACAGGAAGCAAAACTGTGAAATTAGTATGAATAGTCCGTTCCATACCCCATCAGGCAGTTTCTATAACAAGCTTCACATCGCTCATAGAAGAAGGGGGAGCATTTAATGTCGCCGTGGCTTTAATCAGGGAAAGAAAATTATTGCATCGAAACATTTTTCCGATTAAACCAGTGACTTATAAATAAGTGAAATGCACAATATACATTACTGAGCTGCATGGATGACAAATGTCATGTTCTCAAAGTGCAAAATCCCTAAATTGGAAGCCCAGCTGTTTAATGTATGGGAACCCTCCACTGTGTCTGCCCAGACATTCAGTAATTTGCATATCATGGATAACTCATACAATACTATGTCTGGGAGACCGATATAAAAAAAAAAAAAAAAACACTGTAGTGATACAATAAATCTTGAATAATCACAAGCTAAAATCATGTGACGAGGAAAATAGACAAAATATATAATTAAACCTGGGTTGTATCTGTCAGATTAAGATGCAGTTATTGGCAGTAGAGCCCTCATCCCAGATCCAAATATTGAAAATGAGCAAATAGGGATTTGTCTGAACTTGATCCCTGGTACGTAACTGACGAACACGGGATATTAACAAGTTACATGATGGTTATTTTTCTCTTCCTGGCTATGATCTGTGACTGCATACACAATTTCAATTAGCTCAGCCTACTCACAGCAGATATGACAGGGGAGGAGGGGGGGTGGAGAAAAGGCCTTCTACTCAGCATGACATTATTTCCAAATAAATACAACAAGCTCCAACAAGGGAGTAAAGCCATAAGCTACTATGGATAATAGGAAGGACAAGAGAGTTCTGGGAGGTTTGTCAGACCCCTGTTCTAAAGTATACCCAAACGTGTTTCCGGTCATTTTTCGTGTATGGTGCGTGCATTATCAGAAGTAAATCAATGCTTTGATGGTGTGATCGGGAAATATAGCTTTTCATTTTGAAAATCGTACGACCCTAAACTACTTTTAAGATCACACTACTTCTGACATTTACCTTCTTACACTTGTCACATGCTTGATAACGTGAATTCATTCTTAGTACTAAGTTCTAATCCATCTCCTGTCTAACCCCCAGGTACTCCAGCTGTGAAGAATTTGCAGAGGATGCAGAGCTAGTGTTCAGTAACTGCCAACTATTTAATGAGGATGAATCTGAAGTGGGCAGGGCTGGCCTGGCCCTAAAGAGGTTTTACGATAGCCGCTGGGAGGAGTTCAGTCAGGGGCGCAACCAAGTTGCACTATGAGTGAGACTGGAATCTGTTGATCTGTAAACGAACAGCTATATTTGACCAGATCTCCGACAATGAAAACGGGTTCAGCTCCCTTGGGTGTGAGCTTTTTAAGGTGCTGCTTTTCACATTGAGGGCAGCTACATTGCAACTCAGATGTTAATAAACACAAGTACAGGACATTTCCTCCAGAACAGAATTATCAATATTGATCTGGATTAGTTTCAGGTCCCCAACACTTCCATATGTCTGATACAGTGATCGAGAGAAAATCTTGCAGATAACCCTGCTATTTGTACCCTCCTATCCTCATTTTTGTTAGGGAAATTAATCTGCCAATGCAGTGTTTTCTACTCTACTTCGTACACCAAACCATACCCTCCACCAATTCCGGAACATTATTTCATACATGCAATTTAGAAGACAATTGCACCAGCACTTCAGTGCACAGTCTAGCAACCTCCGGTATCTGTTAATCGTAATTGACGCATGTGTACATGCTTTGCATTCCTGCACATGTCATGGAGTAAAAACCTGATATGGCCAATGCTATTATGTACAGATCTACATACTTACTATACACATGGGCACATGAAGCCACAAAATGAATATACGCAAATGTCTCACATGACTTCTAAATGTTTTACATGTACGTACAGAAGTCACTCACTCCTTACCCACTGTCTTTATTTATAATGGCAGAGTAATATTTAATAGCAATAGCATATCGTGAATGTGTGTGTGTTTGGGGTTTTACTGATCTTTTCTTGAGATGGGGGCATAGAAAATGCAACTTCTGCATAGCATTAAATAAAAAAAAAAAAACACAATTGTAGTTGTATGGCCAGTATGCTGGGTGGCAGCCCTTTAAAGGGTTAACAAAAGTCAAGCGTACCCTGGGCTGAACTTGTCCACAAGCCTCTGTTCAAGCTGCTTCCACTGGTTATTACTGTTCATTGTCGGACATTCATTTCCCCCCAAGTTTCTCTGGCACTACCTCCTTCCCATACCCTTATTCACCTGATATCTTCAATATACTTTTATTCCCAACTCCCTTTTGGCCAAGAGATGCCATTGAGTACATGGTATTGTGCCTTTTGGCCTTCAGGCTTTTAGCACTACAAGTATCCCAGGGGTAATCACTGCCAGTCTTTTCTTCCTTAACTTTATATGGAGTGGCAGGGAATTTATAGTCTCCTGTGTTATATGTACATTTTATATTTATTTGAAGTTGTCTCGACTGTGTAGGCTTTTGGTATTTAATATCATGTCCTTGCTGCTTGTTTTCAGAGAGGTTCACAAGTTTGACTGTCTTTATAGGAATGGGCTTCTTTGCTTTTTCATCCCTTAATTCACTCCAGTTCTACAGACCTCCATTTTTTGTTAATGGACATTTCTACTAAGGGACCAATCTGTGATATACCAGTGCTATTTCCTTGTCCCTGGCATGGAAATGGTGGAACCCCATATTATATGATTATAATGCACTAAATACTGATGTGAGGAAGGGCTACACAACCATGTGTTTTCATGGAAAGCCTGTTACCGATTCTAGCACACAATCTTCCATCTCTTGTAATATGGGGTCATGCAACATAAGGTCAAACAAAGATACAAAAATTTTTTTGGGGGTGGGGTGGGGGGGTTCTGAAAGCTAGAACCAGTTAAATCTTTGATGACAAAAATGGTGTATGCAGTGTTCCAAAGCAGTTATTAAATCCTCTTTCTAAACCTCAAAGGGTTGAAGTAATCTTTCATTCCCTTGCTCAATTCCCTCATACATTTTTTTTTTTTTTTTTAAATATATAATTCTTATTTTATCAAAGCTGCAGAACCCACACACCTGGTATCTGCCCAGTTCTGCCTGGCACAGATTGTGACATTTGTAGGGGTGGCAGTCTACTAGAGCTGTAAATAACAATGTATACATCATTTCTGAATAGCAGTGCTGTGTTCCAGTGGGGGTCATCTATAAAAATCTTAATCAGTGGTGGTCCTTGAGGGCTGGATTGAGAAGCAATAATGTAGACGCAAACACTTTTCACAAAGAGCTGCAGCAGACTCTCTTATTCAAACTTTGACATCATTCTTTGAATGTGCTCTAAATGTGGCCAATAACCATCTCTACCGATGTTACAAGCATGCAACTTTATGGACTATGGTCTCACTGAAAGCCAAGGAATGGAAAATAGATACCTAGTTGTAGCATGTGTGTCTCTACTTGTGCAGTCGATACCCATGTTGTCCCTCGGTAAATTAGTTGATTTGAAATGAAGTTGGAGATAGTAGTTTTTATATCATAAATTGTTTATATGCGTCTAATTGTGTTGGTTTTTTTGGGGGGGGGAGTAGAGGACAGTTCAGATATTACACAAAGCAATATTAGATGTGCAGCTGCGGACTCCGCATGCTGACTTGTATAGCAATAAACCATGTCCTACCCACTCCCCTCGCAACTCATTCCAGTAGGGTACAAGCCTTGTCATGCTAATGTAAATTTCACTAGACCAAGAATGGCTGCCATCTAAAAGAAACAAAACAAAACAAAAACCTGGCATCATGAAACATACTCCTCGTTATTCTGTGCCTGGATTAAGAACCTTTTCTTTGAGGTCATGGCAGTGAGCAGGTGTCCATGTAAATGATGGAGGCAGAACTGGGTATGGGATGTGTTGTGGAAAACATACCCGCAAGCCTGTAGAAATCTATTTTTGTATCCTGAAACTTTTTTTTTTTTTGATTAATAGACTGTAGGATTTTTAATATGCATAAATATTTATATTTTATCTAAATGACAGCACTGTAACTTTGTTTTTGGTTTATTGTTTTGTTCTGTATTCATAGAGCCCATATTGTGCTATGTTTTTGTTTTACAGTAGAAGTAAGATCACTTTCAGTCAGTTTGCTCTGGAAATATGTTTATTTAACGCCTGTATGGTGACTAAATATGTAATTTCTTAGTTCGTCATTCTTTAATTTTATAGGAGGGTAACCATGGGTTCAATTCGTGTAAATTGTTTTGTTAGTTTGTCAGGCAGAGCCTAGAACCTTAATGTTCTTTGCAAATAAGCAATTTTTATGGTGTGCATGTTTTTTTTGTTTTTTTACCCGCAGTCCAATTTGTAGAATAAAATAGGCCACCAGGGAGCTCAGTCCTTCATGAGATTAGATGTTGAGGTGGAATTTAGAGGTTTCCATTAGATATCCGTGACACCAAATTGACTGGGCTACTTTTATTTACTTTAACTGTTAGCATTCCTATTTATTTATTTTTTTATTGTTATTTTTTTTAATGCCATCTATTTTCCCCTTGTGACCTCTAATTTTTGGAATAACAATGGGGCCTCTATGCATTTCAATACCATGTATTAAAAGCCTTGCGGGCTTGATGAGGGTTTATTTAAAATGGTGTATTTACGTTCATTCTGAGTTTACTTCCATTGAAGGTATCCTTGTACAGTGATACCACTTATCCTCCTGATCTATCCTTAAAAAAATAAATAAAAAAAAATAAAAATGGAAAACACAGGTTTTAGTCTTGGCAACACTGAATGAGAGTAAGAGTGATTTTGAAACTCTGTGCAAAGCAGCTTTCTGGTGCAAAATTATGTTACATCTCACATTTTGTCTCTCTTATTTTATTTGTTTGCAGCTTTAAGTTGTTGGTATGAGTTTTCAAATAACATACACTAGCTCTCACGTTCTCCTCTATTATTTTTATATATGTGTAACCAAACTGTGTTATAGTGACCTTTTTGATAAATGTACAGTTTTTTTCTGTGAATTTAAATTTCTTTCTTTCTATATTTTTAGGACCAATCTCGTTTTTCAGAAATAAAAACAAAAAATAAAAATAAAAAAAAGTTTAGAAATCCACATTGTTGCACATGTGCTGTAGTGTGCCCTTTAGCCGCTGAAGTATAATAATAATAATAAAAAAATATAAAATGAAAGTGTTTGATGTCTTCCCTGATATGTGCATTAGTGTGTGTGCATTGTTAAATCTAATTGCTGGATGCTATGTTTAACATATTTTGATATGGGCAGTAGACCTATATTTCAGTGACGGCAAAAATAGTCAATGATGGGGGAAAAAAACTTAGGCCAGCATTTTTGCATCACAGCGGCTCACTGAGAAAGGGGCGGGGCCAGAGAGGGTCTTGAGCGTGTTTAGTTAAATGCTCTTCCAATGCAAACCATGCACAGAGCCCTGCTGAAGAGAAAAAGGCCCTGTATTTGTTCTGCGCAGTACAAGCAAATTGATTAACTTGTGACTTTTCTATGTCTCCATAAGTGGGATACCAGATGACAAAAGGGACAGGAAAGTGTTATTGTGTATGTGTTTGAAGCCTGCTTGTTGGATTGCATGTGTGCTGAGTCAGGGACGTATTTGCTGCGAGGCAAATAAGGCACTTTCCAGGGGGCGTCAAAAAAATGCCGCCCCCAAATGCCCAGGCAAATACCTTGTTAGCCTGGCGGCATTCGGCTAACTAAAAATCCAGGTGCCGGTGAGGGAGCACTGATTAGTGAGCTTTCTGCTCAGCTCCAGAGTGATGCCAGGAGCCGGAATATGAGACTGCTCACAAATCAGTGCTCCCTCACCGGCGCCGCGCGCCTGGATAACAATTAGCCGCAAGAGTGCCTGCATGCCTGCCTCCCTCCCTGCAAGAAGACCCACTGGACCCCAGGTAAAAAAAGGTAGGGAGGCTGGGTGGATTTAAACTAAAATAGAAAAAGTAATCTTTATTAATTAATGTCTGGGGGGGTTGCGTGTCTGGCTGTCAGTGTGTGTCTAAATGATTGTGTGTGTCTGGCTGTTAGTGTGTTTGTGAGTGAGTCAGTGAAGGTGTGTCTGCATCATTGAGTGAATGTCAGTTATTGGGTGTGTCAGTGATTGTCAAATCAGTGTGTGTGTGTGTGTTAGTCGTTTAACAGAAAGAGGTGTGGCATTGACAGGAAGGGGTGGGGCAAATGTAAATTAGGGGGTGCCCAAATTCCGTCATGGCTAGGGCAGCACAGATACTAAATACTGTGCTGAGTGAGTTGATTGTGGTGAATAGGTCGGTTTCAGCTGGGTTTATGGTGTAATGTCTGCTATGGGCTGAACCTAACTTGGGAATTAGGACAAAAGTAGTAACTAGTGTAGAAACTACCATAAGTGATTTGCCTTAAAATATGAAATGCTGACAATATGACCAGTAATTGTAACAGGGGACATTAGCAGCACAACCTCATATATAGAAAAGAAAAATAACTAATTAGCAAGTCACAATGTCTCAAAATGAGAAGGTTTAATTATGTTTATAGTAATAACAATAAAATTTCCAGTAGAGTCTTTAAAAGGCAGAAAAAAAAGTACAGATCTTACCTTCCAATGTGCCCATCTGACCAAACATATTCGATGTGAGAGATCCCAATGCACTCATGTATTGTCGTGCTTGATTTGTTATTTTTAGAAGAAGTAATACGGTAGGTCATGAGATAGTGAAATTGTGGAAGTCACAGTATTTATTCTTGCTTTTAGGAATGTTTTATTTCTGGATGGAGTTGGGTTGCTCTTGTCTTGGTTTATCAACCAATCAAAATTCTCCAGAGTACAAATCACCTCTACTGTGTGTTGAAAAGTTATGTGATAGTCTTGTGCCACTACTAGGATAATGTCCAAGTAGTGGAAAATTTAAATACCTCTCTTCCCCAGAACTGCAATGACTGTAATAATTATTTTTGAGAATGTTCTTGGTGCCAATCCTAGCCCAAATGTGGCATGCCCTGAAACTGGTAGTTTTTCCCCAAAATCCAGAACCTCTGGAATTTTTGATGGGATTGGTGAATTGGAATTTGATAGTAGGCATCATTTAGGTCTATTGGAGTTAACCAGCCCCCAAAAAGGCAAAATAAAAATCCATAATAACCGTCGCACTTTAAAAAACAAACAAACAAAAAAATTATCCATCTTCACCCTTGGAGGGCTCCGCACAGACTGAGCTCTGCAGGGTGGGGCAAGGCTTTATAAACTCTGCAGTTAGGCTCAGAGCACTCTGGTGAGTTTAAGCCATCCAATCAGAGTGCTCTGACAGGTAAATGAAGAGACTGACTGCTAAGTCTCTACATTTACCTGTCACAGCACTCTTGATTGGTTAGCTTGAAATCCAGCCAATTGGAGTGCTCTGTGTCATTTTACACAGCGTGGGAAAGTTCTTTGGAATTTTCCCACGCTGTGTAATTTGACTCATAACTCTCTGATTGGTTTACCTATCAGAGCACTCTGATTGGATTGCTTAAACCAACCAACCAGTGTGCTCTGAGCCTTATTGCAGGGCGGGGCAAGGCTTTATAAACCTTCCCCTCCCTGCGGAGCAATAGGTGTGCCCCCCCTTTATTTTCCTTTAGGGCCCCCCACTCGCCGCCCAGGGGTGGGGGCCGGGGGGGGATAATAGGTGTGTCCCCCCCCTTTGAAGTATTTTAGGGTCCCAACCCACCAATCAGGGGTGGGGGGGGAAGGACAATAGGTTCCCCCCTTATTCTAATTTAGGGCACCCACCCACACTTTTCGTTATATGACGATCCCCATGCAAGGGGTACGCCCATGTGGACCTGATGGTAGACTGATTTACAACGTCACAGACCAATAACAATAAGGTTCTAAGGCAAGACACTCCCATACACAGTACAAAATCCCTCCCCTCTGCCTGGGAGATAATTGAGTCAGATACTAAATTAACTCAATTTATCTCCAGGCAGAAAAAACACATTTTTATAAAGCCCCAAAAGTACCCCAAAACACATAATATCCCCACATCCTGTGATATCCCTGATCTGGGTGACCAACATATCCAAAAATCACTGAGATCATTTCAGAATTTCCTTGAAGTCATAGTTTTTCCCGATCGCCTTCATGTTCCTAAGCCCAAAATGGTTCCATAGAATCGCTGCTAAGTGCCGCTGGCGACCGACCGGGAACCGCACAGTCTTCTTGCTGAAAACAGTTTCATAGAATCGCAGTTAAGTGCCACTGGGGGACCGACCCAGAACCGCAAAGTCTTCATGTCGAAAATAGTTCCAGGGCATGCATGGCGAAGTCCCCCTGAAGTCTATTCGTGGTTTTGGTCCATGCGAATGGCCGCCAGGGAGCTAGCGTTCGGTTCTATGGAAAGTACCGAACCAGGGGAACCAGGGGGAATAAAATGAGTCTTTACAGTCGTTGACTTGGCCTGTAGTCTTTTAGCAAGAGGCTGGCCAGCAGGCCCCTCTAAGCACCCGTGACCAGGCCGTCTGTAACGCGGGGCAAATGGGGTAGTTGACCCGGGCCCAGTTACTTCGGATGGGCCCAAAGCAGCTGCCCTGTGGCCCTGCTTGCCCATAGACTGCATAAAAAAATCCCCACCCGTTGGCCCGCGGTGCTGGTATTGCGGCTGCACCAGGGCTCATACTTTAAGTGTGCTCACCGGGTGTCCAATACACTTAGGGCCACCCAGTGAGCACGTTTCAGTAGGGGCCCAGTCGGGTGCTGTGGCCCTTTAACAGCACGACCAGGCCCCCTGCTTAACGGCAGCCTGGAAGGAAGTGACGTCCGCGAGTCACTTCCACCCTCAGAGATGATGAGCCACAGGGGAGGGAGGGTGAGCCAGTAGTCAGCGAAGAGGGGGACTGAGCAAAGAGAGCCAGTCCCCAACTCCCAACCACCACACTGGACCCCAGGAAGGTAGGAAACTGGAGGGGGGCTTCAAAGTGTAAAGTTTGCATATATGTGTGTCAGTGTGTAGGGGCAGGGGTGTGTGTGCACAGTTATGTCTCTGTGTATCAGTATGTCTGGGTGTGTCAGTATGTCTGTTAGTAGGTCTGTGTTTGTGTCTGTGAATGTTTGTCAATATGTCTCATTGTGTGTTTGTGTGTGTGTCTGTGTCCATATGGCAGTATATATGTGTCAGTATGTCTGTCAGTTTATGTGTCTGTGTAAGTATGTCTGTCAGTTTGTCTGTCTCTATATGTGTCTGTATATCTGTATGAAGTCTGTGTGTGTTTCGGCGTATCTGCATGTGTGTCTGTATATCTACATGTGTGCCAGTGTGTATATCTGTGTGTCTGCATGTGTTTGTGTGTGTATATATATATATATATATATATATCTCTGTGAGTGTGTGAATGCTGAGATGTATGCACATATACACACAAACACTACATACAAATACACCCCTGCCCCTGCAACTCTAACACAGACATGTGTTCGTACGTAGTGTTGCACACCAAATTTATATGTAAACACACCCCTGCATTCAAAAACCAACACTACACATAAATAGATGCTTGCAAGTACGCCAACACCACATACAAATATATTCCATACAAAAACCTGTTTACATTCACACACACAAACACAGCTTAGTGCTAAATACAAACCTTCAAATATGGGTAAATGGTAGAGCTCCAGCTGTCAATGCACTGCTGGAGTTGCACGACAGATGGGGGATCTACCTTTTAATCACCCGTGCGATAGGGAGGCCCAAACAAATTCTTGCACCTCTCTACTTTAGGTCCGCCACTGTGTTGGGGTGGAGGACGTGATTGCACGCCTGGGGAGGGGGGACAGGTTATAGGGGGCCCAAGCAAATGATTTGCCCAGGGTCCAATCAATATTAAAGACGGCCCTGCCTGTGACTAGGTTCAGTTCGTCACAGTGCTCCTCTCCTCTCATGCTGCGGCTGCCTCCTCTCCCTCGTGCGCAGTCTCCCTGCTTGATGCTTCCCTTCCTTCCAGCCGGCTGTCATTACAGTTGCCCCGTCGCAGTCGTTAAAAACCGTGGCACCCTACCAGGCCCCTGTCCAGCAGTAATGTTTCCCTGTACAATAATCATAGCACCAGGGAAACATTCCGCGGCACCCCTGTGTGCTTGTCGTCGCCATGGCACACCGTTTGGGAACAGCTGGTCTAACTGTAGCCTTTTTTTACTTATATTGTTTTAGTTTATTTTAACTTCATGACCTAGCTGTAGAATCTCACACTACTATAATAACATGATACTGCATAACACATAGATCGAGACAGGTGTGGTTTAATGGGTCCATAGTCCTCTTTATGCAGTCTCTTTCCTATGACGTTCTTATTTTTTTTTAATACCCCGCTCATGTATTTAAAGCAATATCTCGACTATACTGTTTTTCTCCATGCTAGTACTGTTCTTGTTGGGGTATACCAGTGATTCTCTATTGACACCATGTTGGCTCTATCTTATTTCATTTCACTTTTACAACCTGGCATTAGTGTTTCATTATAGCAACATAACGTGTACATAGCCTAATTTGTGTACTCTCTTACCAATGTTGCTGTTATTGTTATTTATAATGCTTCTGATATACTCTGTCTGGATTATTTGCTTAAAGTTTATATTACACCCTGTTCCAAATTAATATGCAAATTCTATCTACGTGTCACAAAGATTAAATATTTTGTTTTTCAGTTTAACTCATGGATGGCATTGTGTCTCAGTGCTCTTTTGAACACTGAAAACAATCTCAGACACCTGTGATAATTAGATTGCCAGGTGAGCCCAATTTAAGGAAAAACTACTAAAGGAGGGTGTTCCACATTATTAAGCAGAGCACCATTTTCATGCACTATGGGGAAGAAAAAGGATCTCTCTGCTGCCGAAAAGAGTGAAATAGTTCAATGCCTTGGACGAGGTATGAAAACATTAGATATTTCACGAAAACTTAAGCGTGATCATCGCATTATTAAGAGATTTGTGGCTGATTCAGAGCACAGACTGATTCGTGCAGATAATGATTTCTGTCAGATCCATGCATCGGATCAAGAGAGCAGCTGCTAATATACCATTACATAGCAGCAAACAGATATTTGAAGCCACTGGTGCCTCTGGAGTCCCATTGACATCAAGGTGTAGAGTCCTCCAGAGTCTTGCAACTGTGCATAAACCTTCTATTCGGCCACCACTAACCAATGCTCACAAGCAGAAACGGCTGCATTGGGCAGAAAATTACAGGAAGACTACTTTTCAAACAGTCCTGTTCACTGATGAGTGCCGTGCAACCCTGGATGGTCCAGATGGATGGTTGGTGGATGGCCATCCTGTTCCAACAAGGCTGCGACGTCAGCAAGGCGGTGGTGGAGTCATGTTTTGGGCCGGAATCATGGGAAGAGAGCTGGTCGGCCCCTTTAGGGTCCTCGAAGGTGTAAAGATGACTTCTGCAAAGTATGTGGAGTTTTGGACTGACCACTTTCTTCCCTGGTACAGAAGCTCCATCTCATGCTTCAAAGAATACCTCTGCATCAATGGCTGCTATGGGGATAAAAGCAGAGAAAGTCATGGTGTGGCCTTCATCCTCCCCTGACCTTAATCCTATTGAGAGCCTTTGGAGCATCCTCAAGCAAAAGATCTATGAGGGTAGGAGGCAGTTTACATCCAAACAGCAGCTCTGGGAGGCTATTCTGACGTCTTGCAAACAAATTCAAGCAGAAGCTGTCCACAAGGTCAGTTGGATGCAAGACTTATGAAGCTGCTATCAAATGAGGGGTCCTATGTTAAAATGTAATGTGACCTGTTAAAATGTTTAAAAAGTTAAAATTTTGTTATAAGTTTGATTGAAATAGCTTTTGATTTCAGTAAATATGCTGCAAACACAACAAATGAGAATTTTCAGTTCTTTACAACTTAAAGTGTTTTGAAACTTACTGTGTGTAATAATTTGAAACAGTGCATTGTAAGTTTTTTATGTTTAAAAAAAAATACTGTTATTAGGAGGTTTGTTCAATAAAATTTGAATTGTACTCTTAATAGTTGATAACATGAGAATTATGCTGACTGTTACTTACATAAATTATTTAGGTAAATGAGAAAAATATCATTTGCATAATAATTTGGAACAGGGTGTAGTTTCTAAAAATTGCAATTTTCTATTTTGTAACATTCTATAGTGTTATCTTGCTGAAATGTCAATACCAGCCTGTATTCTTCACTATGTACTGCAAAAATAAAGAATATAAAAAATAAAATAAAAAACCCATGTAATGTGCAT